ACAACAGTCCCTGGGAACTCCATTTACTAAGCACACAAACAGACACATTCCCGTAAATAATACTTCATCTCGACACCGCAAGGTACCAGAGGATCAAGATGAGAGAAGACGAGGAATAATTCACATACGAACGCATACATACACATATCACCATCATCATCATGTAGCAGGTCCTTTGCAGAACGTCGCTCTTATTAGGGTCTGTCTGAGAGAAACTCGGTCTCTCACCAGCTCTCCAGCCTCGTGTACTTTCATACTTAAGGGATCACTTATATCCTGTGCCCATCAAGTCGGTCGGTCCCTGCCCCTCCTTCCTGGTACCATGCCTTCTGCTATAATTTTTTTCCAATCCGTCGTGGGGCTTGATATGACCAAAATATGTCAACTTCCGAGACAGGATGCTGTTTATTAGCCAATCTTCCTTGATGTTCAGATCTTTCAAGATGTCAGTATTTCTTCTCTTCTTTGTCCAAGATATTCTGAGAATCTGTCTCTAGCATTTCAGCTCAAAAGCCCCTGTTCTCTTTCTTAAGGACTGAGAGATAATCCACGACTCACATCCGTATGTAGCCACAGGGAAGATGCATGCTCTCAAAATTATAATTTTGATCTCCTTGCTGGTGCTTAAGCATAGACTTTTAAGGCTGTTTAATCTTTGTATTGCTATGGCCATCATCCTTTTAATTTCTATCAAACAGTCTCCATCGCTATTTATTATAGAGCTTAGATATTCAAAGCGTGTCTAATTTTTCAATTTCTTCCTCATTTATTGTTATTTTTGGTGACAGCCAGTTTTATCTGTGGGCACTTTTTTCTTCTTCTTTAAATTCACACACACACATGCACAAAATCACACATGTAGTAGTATTTTCATTCAATATTATCCTGTTCAAACCTTTGAGGTTGTGACTGAGGTATGCACTGTCAACTGTGTGTGTCGCTCAATCCCCACCAGGACCATTTAACGAGCGACCAACAACCGGTGACACAAAGTTCCGCCATTCGGATGAGAATCACCTAGGCACAGGTCCTAGAAATCCTGTTCTAGCGTTAAGTTATATTAAGGCCCCTGACGACAGCCGGGTGGGGCTTTAAAATAACACAAATTTTACCCCCAAGCTGGGACGGGAATGACTGCTAGTGTCCACTGTATATCCATCGTTTGTTTTTAATCCATAGTATAAATCACACACCCTTTCTGTATTTCGCATGTTTATTTTAAATGAAGTGTTAACTCTTCCTAAATCGTGACCAATACATGGGTTAAACTGTCATGTGCCATTATGACTACAATATTTTATTTAACAGTCACATTGGTGGCCCAGATTATTGTGCATTTCTTTACTTACTGTGACAATCAGTAAAAGTAAACTTTCACTGGAGATGTAATTTTTTTTAAGTTATCTCTTTATGAGACTGAGACAGTACATTTGTCGCCTGTTTCTTAAACTTAAATATTGGTGTTAGTATTAAAGGGATGCCTCTGGTGCACTTACGGCAATGACTAAAGATACCGCGGCGGTGGAGTCAAAGATGAATTAGAAGACGGTATATTAAATATAGAGTTTAAGTTAAACCTCTATTTCCACCAGACCTACATATAGGACACCAATCAAGACCAAGATGAGATAGAGGACGTCAGAATGAGACTTTCTTTCACTCTCGCGGGTGAAGCCGAGCAATTACATCTAGTATTTTTATAAATCATTAAAATCCAATTAGTTCTTTTTTCTATTTCTATTATATTTGAAATATTATACTGATCGTGTCGGCTCTCTGGCTAAGTCGATGCGAACGCTTCGTAATGCCGGAATGCCAGGTTCGATCCCAGCTGCGGGCCACGCGACTTGCGTTGGTTTTGACAGTGGTATCAAGAAAGCCGACCGTCCAGGAAAGCAATGACAAACTACTGGAGGTAAACTTGCCTAGAGAAACCACACAATAGCCAGGGGCTGTTGGGATTGGTTCTGCAACGTCCTGTAAAGGATACGCAACTAACCTATCCTGATCGTACCTTCCGAAATGGGGGGGGGGTATGACTCAAAGCTTCTAAGCCTTGTTTAGAGCATACTAAAAACAAGGTGCTGTGAAGTTCTGGAACAAGACCACAGTCCAGGAGCGGCCGAACAACCAGAACTTAAAGTCAGAGTTTGCTGCCAGTGAACGCGAAGAAGAAGAAGATGAAGAATTGTAAATGAATATTATAGTTTTTTGAAGCAATGTTAAATATAAATGTATGAATCATCATCATCAATTTCCATCGTTAAGTGTTTTGGGGAGGGACAGTTTGTTATCCCATGCTTGATGGGCAGCCATGGCTACGGTCATTCCTTTGCAATGTAGAAGCTCTTTAATGTCATCATTCCATGTTCTCCTAGGGCGACCTCTTGTTTTCCCTTCAAATGTTTTCCTGTACAGTGCCTGCATTTACTGCATTCTTTCTAGATAACCAAACTATTTGATCTTCTGTTTCTCAATGAATTCGCTGTAAGGCGTTGTTCCTACAGTCTGTCTGATAATACCAGTTCTAACCTGTCTCGGATGGTTAAGTTGGCAGCTTTTCTCAGCAATCTCATTTCACAGGCTTTAATTTACGTAGGTTACCCTATGTTAATGTCCAAGTCTGGCACTGGTAGCACAGTATGGGTGTGAATATACTGTTTACAGTCTGTTTCTTGATACTCATGTTTGAATGTCTTAATAATGGTGTCACTTGGTATTTTAGTGTCAGCATTCCCTATGTTGTCACGGGCAGCGATTCACATTGCAAGTAATAATCTCCCTTTCTTTTCCTACCTTTTGTCTTGTTTTTATCCAGTTACAGTAAATAAATGTTTTTTATCATTTTTATTTATTCACGTTTGCATTCAAATATGATCAACAAGTGTTACTATATTTACAGTGTACTGTCAGTGTATTCAGTAAAAGACATTTTCAAATGTGAGATTGTTCGGCCCCCTGAACTGGTTAATTTAGTTTCCCTTATTTTCAGTGGGAAAAACTACCTTGGAACTCGAACGATTTAGAATTCTAATGCCATATATTGCTTACGTCCTTCTTAGGACGTTATTTTTTGTTATTTGAAGCCCCACTCTGGCTTTTGCCAGGGGCCGCAATATAGGCAGGTCATCATTATGGCCAAATGTCTGAACGCGGTTTCTGGGACCTCTCCACGGTGATCCTCATCCGCATGGTGGCACTTTGTGTCATCGGGTGTTTATCGCTTGTGTGATGTCCTGGTGGGGTAAAAAGCCAATCCAATTCTAATGCCGTTTCGGAACGCATTATGTTCATGAATACAAAAACATCGCTGTAATGAATATATATATATATATATATTCTCCCACGTTTTCTTCTAGGTGTGTGATCTGCAGCAAAGACCGGCAGCCATGACTCTTCAATAAAGACATCACATAACTAAATGATGTGTATGTCGTTTATACTATTAGTGCAATACAGATGTTTTCAGTGTGTGTGGGTGTGTATACATCCCTGTATGTCTTCACGAGCCTATCTTGCCTCGTTCTTTATTCATCTTTGCGATCGGTTTTGTATGCTCAGGTCAGACTATCAAGTGGGTTACCTCAATGAACTCGCATGTCAGCTGCAGGTCCTGTATGGTGCCCCACAGCTTGCTCTGCACACTTTGCTCTTGAGGCCAGGTTTCTCTTCGAAGTTGTAGGCAGAGTTGGCAGGTCAGCAGAAGGTGTTCAGGTGACTGAGGTACTGTCTGATAGGTACACTCTGGCAACTGTAGTCTCTATTTTATGCATGTGATAGTTGAGCCTGCAGTGTCCTGTTCGTTGACGGAACATTGTTGTATGTTGCTTTCTGTTGAGTCTGCTGATGGGGTCTTGTGGATGTTTACTGTTGGTTTGTTCTCTCCAGAATTCCTTGTCTTTTCCCTTGATAAGTGTTCTGATTTCTGGTGATGGCAACGAATGGGTGTGTTGTTTCATCTTTTGTTCCATTTTGAGCAAGTATATCCGCTGATTTCCTGGTAGGTCGCAGTTAGCCAGAATCCGATTAAGATCGATTTGATTTTTTTTCTGCGAGTCTGTTTAGCTGGCAGGTCAGTTCTCTCCATACTGTCGCATGGATCCATTTGAGTCACATTAAAGACTAAAATGCAGTCACAGGACTGCAGTGTGACTGCAGCCACACCTTCTAAAAGCTGGATGCTGTTAAAGACCTTAGAGAGCGAGTGAAATCGGAAGCACAAACAGATCTCTGTGGTCTGAAGAGAATGATGCAGCAAGCAGTGACCAAGGCTTTGGCAGACACGGATGGCACTCAGGGAAAAGGCAGGACAGATATACTACAGTCACACTGCTACTGGTGCTATTGTAACTTCGCTGGCTGCTGAAGAAGGGAGAGGAGCACTTATGTGAATCCTGCGTGCTGCAGCGTCATTTATTACCTCAGCTTTCATTAACTGTTGCTTGTCTCTTTCTTGTTTGTGTGTGAGAGTACGTGTGTATGTGTGTGCGTACACAAGTGTATGTGTGTGAGTGTGTGTGTGTGTGTGTTTGTGTATGACTGTGACTTTTCACAGTGTAAATAAAAAAGGATGATTTTTAAAGGCAGTCAGCTCCTCTAACCAACTAGTCATCCCTTCGACTAGACTGCCTGTTTTCTCTGGTCGTCTGCCAGGTTGTATCATAAACAATTTTGTCTTACTGTACATTTACAAGTCTTGTCAGCTGTTCTCCACTAAGGTTATCTTGATATCTTAAAATGAATGTGTGACTAATGTTAAAACAAACACACACACACAAAATACTAAAGGCGAGGACGCAGCAACCTCTGGTTGGGGCACAGCCCCAGCCACACGCCTTTAATATTGTTTTTTTTTTTTTTTCAAGACAAATGATAAACAAGAGAAAAGTTCAAATGAGGATCAGTGTTGTAGTCAATGGTATTAAAACATTAACAAAAAATACTTGCAAAAAAAACACATCATTTATTAAACATGTAACAAAAACAGCAAACAAATATCATTAAACTTTCTTTTTCTTTTTGCTGACTTTCTGTGGCCCCAGAATCTTGAAGGTTGTCCTAAATACACATCAAAAGATGAAATAGATTAACATTATAAAGGCAGCAGGAAAACAAAGAACTTCTTCTTCTTAGCATTCACTGGCTGTAAACTCTGGCAACAATTTCTGGTTTTTCATCCACTTCTGGATTTTATTCTTGTGCCAGAACTTAAGTTCTGCATGCACATCTGTTTTACAAATCTGGCTTATTTGTATACAGACTGTTGGTTCCCCACCTCTCAGGCAGACGCACTCTGACTACGGAGGAAACACATCTAATCAGTTGATGTTTACAACATGCCTGTTAGGATGGCAGTCCACCTATACTTTTTTTTGTTTACTCGCAGTGGGACCCTGGAACTCAGATGTGGAAAACAAAAGCACTGTTCATTGTTCATTTAAAGATCATCTTTATCATACTTCGGACATGACCATAAGTGCTCCAATCTCCTCTTGAGTATGTCTCCAAGCTAACAACTCCCATTCTGTTCTGGCTGATGTAACGACTCGTGGCTCCCGCAATGTTTTTCTGTCTTCCTGTTCCAATTGGTACACCCAGGGGTATCCAGTCAGTTCAATGAAAAATCATTTTCCATGAAACTTAAAGCACTGGGACAAAAATTAAGGTGATTTTTGCAAAACGCTGCGTGCAGTATAAGATGGAGCCGCTGCTTCTGTGTATGATCTTCGTAGCCTGCTCATTATTCACTGACATGTTTACCCCCTTCGTAAATATGACTAAATAAAACATAAACAACTAACTGCATAATTTATTGCCTCTTACAAGATACCGTCACCATCATCATTATCTTGTTGTGCCATTATATGTTCCATAGGGCTTCCATTCTATCCTGTTTCTTAACCCCTCTTGATTAGTTAGCCAGTCTTTCCTCTTGGACCTATGGAGGCGCATAGGGCAGAGGTCATAGTTCTCCATGTCTGGCAGTTCGTTGCTACCTGCTTTAGGTCTTGGATGTTTGTTAATCCCATGGATAAGCCTTCCCTGATGATGGTTCAATGCACAGTCTCTGTCTTCCCCATTTTCTTTTCCTTTCTTGTGTCCAAATAAGGGCTTAATGGGGTAGTCTTGTCTTATCCATTCTGCACGCATGGCCAATGTGTTTGAACAAAGCACCATAACATTGAAAGCTAGAAATCTGATTCAAAGGACGTTTTATGATGGTGACTTGTCGGGTCATCAATCAACAGTCTTAAGCCAAGTTAGAAGGAAACGAGTGCAGCTCATTTTATCTTCACCTTTAAATACAGTGAAATATGCCAAATTTACTATGCAATCTGTTGCCGGTAACTTCTCTGATAAAATATCAAGTCAACTTATGAAGCATGCTGATGAAGGCTCTCTGGCCACAATGTTCACATTATCACTTGTGAATGTTATTTTGCGAGAAGGTTGACTAGTTCTACTCTTTGCTCTTTTGAGGTTTTCAAAACAACAAGCACATTTACTGATTATGACCAATTCCTTAGCCTTTTTCTGTCTCTTTTTTCTGTTTCCCTTTTTCTCTTCTTCCTCATCATTTTCCTTCTTTTTTCTGCATTCGCCCTCAAGAGGGAAGTTGGTAGGTTGTGTAGTTTGCAGCTAAGTTTTGGCCAGACATATTTGATTTCAGCAAAGTCTTAACTAGTGACCTTTTAAAACATATTTGTTAGGGAAAGTGGGTCGATTCTTTTCTTCCCTCTGAAAAGGGGCAGTGGTACCAACCCATGCAGGGAAAATACAGCAGTAATGTACAATGTTTAGCTGCATATAATACAATACAACTATCACAAACAACATCCAGCAATGGAAAACAATAATACCACTCGGTACACTGTCAGTCACTGGTGTAAACAAGGGAGACAAACACAAGACAAGGGAGACAAACACTGACAAGACAAGGGAGACAAATACTGACAAAGCAATTGAGACAAACACTGACAAGACAAGGGAGATAAACACTGACAAAGCAAGGGAGACAAACACTGTGGCTACTTACTGGCAAGTGGAGCAGATTGGGCTGAAAGTGCAGTAAACTGAGGACACAGAATATTACAAGGTCATAATTTCCAGCCCTCCATTAAACCTCTAAGTCACCCCAATTATCATCACCAAGTGTTCTGCCCACAGGTGTGAGCAGTAATGTTTCTCCACAACCTGCTATCTTTAGCAGTATATTCATGTACTAGCACCCCTCCATGGCATGACAATAACTATCTAGTCCCCTTTAGACTTACACATTCTGTCATCTCCTTGAGAGATGCAATTTTTCTCTACTTTGAAGCCCCACCATGGCTCTTGCCAGGGGCCGCAATATAACCTGACCATAAGTATGGTCTAATGGCTGAATGCGGTTTCTGGGACCTCTCCACGGGTGATCCTCATCCATATGGAGGCATTTTGTGTCACTGGGTGTTTACCTCTTGTGTGATGTCCTAGTGGGGTACAATCTAGTCCCCTTGTGTGATGTGATTTAGGGGGGCCCTAAATATAGCTGGGCCTAAAATATGGGCTAACGACAGAACAGGGTTTCCGTGGCCTCTCAACGGGTTATCCTCATCCACATGGTAGCACTTTGTGTCACCGGGTGCTTATCGCTTGTGTGATGTCCTGGTGGGGTACAAATTACATACATACATGACAATAACTTCGCCCCAATACAGAACAAAAATTTTTATTTTTATTTTAAAGCCTAACCCCACTGTATTGGGGGCCCTAATATAACCTAACGACTGAAGGGGTTTCTGGGACTTGTATCCGGGTGATTCTCATCTGAATAGTGGCACTTTGTGTCACCTGGTGCTTATCATTCATTGTGCGGTCCTGCTGGGGTTGAAAGTCACTCACACTTGGCCTGACAAAAGACTGTCAAGCATCATCATGTGCTGTGCTCCCTCTATCTCTTTCCACAAATCTTTCCTATCATTACAGCATATTCCTGTTTCCTTCTTCTCATAACTTGGTTAGTGGTGCAGTGATTTTGGTCACAGGCATGAGCGAAACTTATGGCCCTTGTGCTGCGTATTAGGTGACTAACCCGTACCTCAACTCGGGAGCTAGCCCACTCAGTGTAGGGTTTACTGATCGTCATGCAAGACCCGTGCTAGACATCCATGTCGTGCCCCATGAATAGTGGCCTATACCAGTCTGAACGGACCTGAGAGGGTACTTCACAGCTAGTTCCTCCCCCCAGAGATGAAGTGTCCAGAACTCCTCTGGCTCTCTTCAGCCCACTCCTCAATGGATGGGGTGATAATGTCTATCAAAAACTTATTTGGAACATGAGTAAAGTCTACAGGCCGAGTCTCTTACTAAATGACAAACAATGGTTCAAATGTTAGGCGATCAATATAATTTCAAATAACTTGACAGACAGATAGGCTTAATAAATTAACTTATTTACTTAATAGGCAGAAAAAAATACTGTAACTTTCTCAACAGATAGACCATTTTCAATAATTTGTTAGATTCAATAATTTAACAGACAGACTAAATACAATAACTTACTTGACAGACAGACAGAACAGACATAACCAATATCAACCAGATGTCTGTGGCAGAAGCAGGCGGCCCTGTAGTCGACCTGAGCTCGTGGGGGTAGCGCCATCTTGGATCTGGCAACTGGGTCGGGCAGAAACACCCACTGGGGAAACATAAGGAATTGTTTGTAAACTAACCTTGTTTACTGACCTTCGCATCTTCTTCTCATTCATCAGCTGTCGCCTCTGGCGGACAGATTGTTTATCCACTTCTGGATGTTGTGTCCTTGTTGTAAGGCTTGAGTTGTTTGGCACATGTTATATAGATTTAGATTTATTTGTGTGCAGATTGTTGGTTTCTCGTCTCTCAGGCAGATGCACTCTGATTTTGAAGAAAACATAGATCCTTTCTAAGCTGGCTAGCCCTGCGGTTGGGAGTCTGTTTCTAAGATGACCATAAAGAGGTGTACGCAGGTCTTGACCTTCATGAGCCCGGGTCTTGGTGCATCACCATCACGTGTGGTTCAGTGCCCCAGCATCAAAACAATCAACACAGATAGGCAGATTTCAGGAACAGTATTGACAGAATTTACACACAAACATACACACAGATTTCAGGAACAGTATTGACAGAATGTACACACAAACATACACACACATTTAAAGTAATACCTTTGGCCATTCTGGACATATAGGGCCCACAACCTACGTATCTGTAGGCGAGAGTTAAGCTGTGACACCACGGCGACTCCTTTAAATATATAATTGTGCAACTCTTCCTCACTTAAATCTAAGTCCTTGCGCAAGTCACTTTTATCTAACTGCACATGCAGAAAAATGGAGACAGACTAGAAAGAACCCTATCGCTAATCCCACACTTACTGCGGCTTCCATTTGTTGTCCGCATTACTCAAGAACTTTTTGGGCTCATTTTGGACCAGTCAGCCGTACTCATAATTATTGATCATTACTACTTTGGCAGAAAAGTGGTCTTCATCCCTCGTGAGGAACGAACAACAACAACAATATTTATATATATATATTAGCTGCAACTTTCTGTCTATCCAGGCAATAGTGTTATATTGGGCTATAAAGAAGCATAGGCCTCATTGCCCATGGTGATGGTGAGTGTGACTAGAAACACCTGTCCATGTCGAGAAAAGTCCTCCACAATTGGAGCCAGGGATTTCAGGACTGATGATGTCATCAAATGTGACATAACTTTCTTCGCTTAGTATGTTTCTTCTCAGATGCTCAGCTCTTATCCTTTCTGCAATCATTTCTTCCTTCATTCCCATTCCCCTTCTGATCTAGCAGAATCATTATCATTATTCACTACCATTAGCATCATTATCATTATTCATTACCATTAGCATTATTATCATTATTCATTACCATTAGCATCATTGCCATTATTCATTACCATTAGCATTATTATCATTATTCATTACCATTAGCATCATTCCGGCATAATGCTGACCATATCACCCATCTTGTGCCAATAGGTCCAAAAAAAATATAGGTCTAGCCCTATATGCCCTATACGCCTTAAGGCATGGAAAAGGGTCCTTTACTTTTTACTTACTATTAGCATCATTGTCATTATTCATTACCATTAGCTTCATTGTCATTATTCATTACCATTAGCATCATTGTCATTATTCATTACCATTAGCTTCATTGTCATTATTCATTACCATTAGCTTCATTGTCATTATTCATTACCATTAGCTTCATTGTCATTATTCATTACCATTAGCTTCATTGTCATTATTCATTACCATTAGCTTCATTGTCATTATTCATTACCATTAGCTTCATTGTCATTATTCATTACCATTAGCATCATTATCATTATTCATTACCATTAGCTTCATTATCATTATTCATTACCATTAGCTTCATTATCATTATTCATTACCATTAGCATCATTATCATTATTCATTACCATTAGCATCATTATCATTATTCATTACCATTAGCTTCATTATCATTATTCATTACCATTAGCTTCATTATCATTATTCATTACCATTAGCTCCCTTATCATTATTCATTACCATTAGCATCATTATCATTATTCATTACCATTAGCATCATTATCATTATTCATTACCATTAGCTTCATTGTCATTATTCATTACCATTAGCATCATTATCATTATTCATTACCATTAGCATCATTATCATTATTCATTACCATTAGCATCATTGTCATTATTCATTACCATTAGCTTCATTGTCATTATTCATTACCATTAGCTCCCTTGTCATTATTCATTACCATTAGCATCATTATCATTATTCATTACCATTAGCTTCATTATCATTATTCATTACCATTAGCTTCATTGTCATTATTCATTACCATTAGCTTCATTGTCATTATTCGTTACCATTAGCTTCATTGTCATTATTCATTACCATTAGCTCCCTTGTCATTATTCATTACCATTAGCTTCATTATCATTATTCATTACCATTAGCTTCATTGTCATTATTCACTACTATTAGCATCATTGTCATTATTCATTACCATTAGCTTCATTGTCATTATTCATTACCATTAGCTCCCTTGTCATTATTCATTACCATTAGCTTCCTTGTCATTATTCATTACCATTAGCTCCCTTGTCATTATTCATTACCATTAGCTTCCTTGTCATTATTCATTACCATTAGCTCCCTTGTCATTATTCATTACCATTAGCTTCCTTGTCATTATTCATTACCATTAGCTTCATTGTCATTATTCATTACCATTAGCTTCCTTGTCATTATTCATTACCATTAGCTTCCTTGTCATTATTCATTACCATTAGCTTCATTGTCATTATTCATTACCATTAGCTCCCTTGTCATTATTCATTACCATTAGCTTCCTTGTCATTATTCATTACCATTAGCTCCCTTGTCATTATTCATTACCATTAGCTCCCTTGTCATTATTCATTACCATTAGCTTCATTGTCATTATTCACTGCCATTAGCATCATTGTCATTAAGTTAGTCCACAGACTGGTGTTGGGAAATGAACAGGCGAACAGACTGGCTGGCTGGGTGTACAGATGGGAGGAGCAGATGGATCACCACAGACTGGTGTTGGGAAATGAACAGACTGGCTGGCTGGGTGTACAGTTGGGAGGAGCAGATGGATCACCACAGCCTGGTGTTGGGAAATGAACAGACTGGCTGGCTGGGTGTACAGTTGGGAGGAGCAGATGGATCACCACAGCCTGGTGTTGGGAAATGAACAGACTGGCTGGCTGGGTGTACAGTTGGGAGGAGCAGATGGATCACCACAGCCTGGTGTTGGGAAATGAACAGACTGGCTGGCTGGGTGTACAGTTGGGAGGAGCAGATGGATCACCACAGACTGGTGTTGGGAAATGAACAGACTGGCTGGCTGGGTGTACAGTTGGGAGGAGCAGAGGGATCACCACAGCCTGGTGTTGGGAAATGAACAGACTGGCTGGCTGGGTGTACAGTTGGGAGGAGCAGATGGATCACCAAAGCCTGGTGTTGGGAAATGAACAGGCGAACAGACTGGCTGGCTGGGTGTACAGTTGGGATGAGCAGATGGATCACCACAGCCTGGTGTTGGGAAATGAACAGGCGAAACAGACTGGCTGGCTGGGTGTACAGTTGGGAGGAGCAGATGGATCACCACAGGCTGGTGAGATTGATGCAGCGGGAAGTGAGGAGTGGTTCTAGCAGACACTCGAGGCTCAGAGGAAAGGCAAGATGGACGTTTAATCAGAATGCTACTGGTACCATTAGTATAAGAACTCTGCACTGGCTGCTGAAGATAGGGACTGAGCACTTATGGGAATGCTCCGAGTGCTGTGATGCCAGTCCTTGGATCAACTAAACTCAAGTCAACTGCTGTTGAAGTATTCATTACTTCTGAAATGTCTGAAAGCCTTGTCAGTGCTGTGCAGGCAGCCTCTATCTCCATTCTTAAACTATCGGAGCTCTTCGCTGGCTGCTGAAGATGGAGACAGAGTGCTTATGGGAATGCCCCGAGTGCTGTGATGTCGGTTCTTGAATCAAATCAAATCCATTCTTATACTGAAAGCTGTTACTGTATACACTCTCAAATTGTAAGCAGTGTTTCTACAAACCCAGGCTAGTGAAACACAAAACAATGGAAGCCATACATTACCATGAGGTACTCCAGCAGACCTTGGGGCTGGGGAATTTTCAGGTAGAGCCCTCCTGTGATATCACATGCCTGCAACAGGAACACACAACCCTGTGTTATGTCTGGTGCTGTATGTTTTGTTATAATGTAACAACATGTTATGTCTGGTGCTGCATGTTTTGTTATAATGTAACAACATGTTATGTCTGGTACTGTATGTTTTGTTATAATGTAATAACATGTTATGTCTGGTGCTGCATGTTTTGTTATAATGTAACAACATGTTATGTCTGGTGCTGTATGTTTTGTTATAATGTAATAACATGTTATGTCTGGTGCTGCATGTTTTGTTATAATGTAACAACATGTTATGACTGGTGCTGTAAGTTTTGTTATAATGTAACAACATGTTATGTCTGGTGCTGTAAGTTTTGTTATAATGTAACAACATGTTATGTCTGGTGCTGTATATTTTGTTATAATATAACAACATATTATAATGGCACTGTATATCTTGTTATAAAATAACATGTTGTGTCTGGTGCTGTACATTTTGTTATAAAATAACAACATGTTATGTCTGGTGCTGTGCGTTTTATTATAAAATAACAACATGTTATTATGTCTGGTGCTGTATGTTTTGTTACAATTAAACAACATGTTATGTCTGATGCTTTATGTTTTGTTATAATAAAACAACATGTTTTGTCTGGTGCTGTATGTTTTGTTATAATACAACATGTTATGTCTGGTTGGGTGAGACAAGAACACTGATCTTATCCATGATTGTGTGAGATGGTGAAGTACGGCAGCCTACTTTTATCGGGATGGTACACGAAAATAATGATCCACTGTGTATTTTTTCTTCCCATTAAATTTGCTATTGCCTGAGTATGAACGGATCAATGACTGCACACACTACCACAGCTGTGAAACCAGGACATATGAAAGAACTTCTAAAGAAACTCAACTGAACTTCTATACGTTGCCTGGAAACAAACAGTGACAGAGGGCAAACTACTGGGCAAGACAGGCATATGCAGACCTGCACAGAGATGGGCACAGGACTTGAGAGCCACCGTGGACAGTAAAGTGCAGGAGGTAGGAGAGCAGGTGAGGAACCAAGTTTCTTTCAAGTGGAAATCAGGTAATAGGGTAATGTCAGTTCCAGCTTCATAACAAACGGGTCGCCCCATAGTTGCTCCATTACTGTGACAACGAAACCACCACAGAATGTCCATCACTATCTTGTGTGGAAAATCTGACAAAGGCTCAGTCTCAGCAAAGCCAATAATAGCTCACATGCTCATTAAATGCATAGGACAGCCATCAGAAGTGCCAACACAAACAGTCCAATGCTAGAAATGCAGTACATCATCAAGCTGGCTGTGAAAGGAGGTACTTTCTGTAAAGGACCTGCAGAATGATGATCTTCAATTGAAAACATGTGACTGGTAAACTGTTACATGTGACTGGTAAACTGTTACATGTGACTGGTAAACTGTTACATGTGACTGGTAAACTGTTTCATGTGACTGGTAAACTGTTACATGTGACTGGTAAACTGTTACATGTGACTGGTAAAATGTTACATGTGACTGGTAAACTGTTACATGTGACTGGTAAACTGTTACATGTGACTGGTAAACTGTTACATGTGACTGGTAAACTGTTACATGTGACTGGTAAACTGTTACATGTGACTGGTAAACTGTTACATGTGACTGGTAAACTGTTTCATGTGACTGGTAAACTGTTACATGTGACTGGTAAACTGTTACATGTGACTGGTAAACTGTTACATGTGACTGGTAAACTGTTTCATGTGACTGGTAAACTGTTACATGTGACTGGTAAACTGTTACATGTGACTGGTAAACTGTTACATGTGACTGGTAAACTGTTACATGTGACTGGTAAACTGTTACATGTGACTGGTAAACTGTTACATGTGACTGGTAAAACTGTTTCATGTGACTGGTAAAACTGTTACATGTGACTGGTAAACTGTTACATGTGACTGGTAAAATGTTTCATGTGACTGGTAAACTGTTACATGTGACTGGTAAACTGTTACATGTGACTGGTAAAAAACTGTTTCATGTGACTGGTAAACTGTTACATGTGACTGGTAAACTGTTACATGTGACTGGTAAACTGTTACATGTGACTGGTAAAACTGTTACAACTGGTAAACTGTTACATGTGACTGGTAAACTGTTACATGTGACTGGTAAACTGTTACATGTGACTGGTAAACTGTTACATGTGACTGGTAAACTGTTACATGTGACTGGTAAAATGTTACATGTGACTGGTAAAATGTTACATGTGACTGGTAAACTGTTACATGTGACTGGTAAACTGTTACATGTGACTGGTAAAATGTTACATGTGACTGGTAAACTGTTACATGTGACTGGTAAACTGTTACATGTGACTGGTAAAATGTTACATGTGACTGGTAAACTGTTACATGTGACTGGTAAACTGTTACATGTGACTGGTAAACTGTTTCATGTGACTGGTAAACTGTTACATGTGACTGGTAAACTGTTTCATGTGACTGGTAAACTGTTACATGTGACTGGTAAACTGTTACATGTGACTGGTAAACTGTTACATGTGACTGGTAAACTGTTACATGTGACTGGTAAACTGTTTCATGTGACTGGTAAACTGTTACATGTGACTGGTAAACTGTTACATGTGACTGGTAAACTGTTACATGTGACTGGTAAACTGTTCCCTACCTGCTGCAGCAATCCAGACTCTGTATCCAGGATGCAGGCATCAATGACAATGTTCTGCAGAATAAATATGATATGATTACCGTCTTCTTTTTTTTTTTGTCTTTCCTGCTAATGAATTAATGAATGAAGGAATCAAGAACTGACATCACTGACCTTGACACATTCCCAAATGTGGCCCATCCCCTTCTTCAGCAACTAATGAAGGGTCGACTTACCAATAGCATCAGTTACAACTGGATTAAACGTCTGCATACATTTTCCCGTGAGTGTGGAATATCTTCCAGATATTTAACTCCCCGCCCCTGTTAAATTAGCCTTTCAGTGTACGGATTCTGTGGCTATTCTACTACACTGGTTATCTGATCCCAGACAGCCTTCACCACGTTTACAGCATTATAAAGTAGCTTACCGCCCTGAGGTGCAGCAGCAGCCAATCTATCCGCCTGCTCATTACCATGCAAACCTGAATATCCCTGGACAGAAAATCCATGATGTGATTCTGATCTGTGTCTATTAATTAATGCAAGCCCCTTGGTGCTCATTGCTGATGAGCAAGCAGACAGCACTGCAGTCAGGGTAAACTCATCAATGTTCCATTATGACCTCATTCCTGGTGTTGTCTCTTCTGGTCACCTCTGCAGCTTTTCTCCGACACTGCATTTCCTTAGTTACTCATTTTCTCTTCTGGTCTGTTGTGAGTGACCATCTCTAGCTCTGATAGCATAATTTGGCTTTGCTGAGATGTTTCTATGTTGGGCTGATAGAGATTGTTTTATGCTGTAAGAGGGGGAGCTAGCTGTCCCAGTACTTGATTTGCTTTACTTCATCGGATGTTAATTTCTTCATCCATTAGTCACACACTGATGGTCAAATTCTGAAAGGTCCTCCCTCATGTGGGTTCTGGAGCCTCATTTTAGTCAGCACAAGAACAGACCTAGTGCTCGCTAACAAGCACGCCATAAAAGAGACTTATTTAGGCTTTGCTGAAATTAGATGTCTTGCATTAAAAGGTAAAAAGTAAAGTACCCTTTAACATGCCTTTAGGCCTATAGGGCATATAGGGCTAGATCTATATTTTTATAGACCAATCGGCACAAGATGGGTGATGTGGCCAGCATCACGCCGGCCGCCTCTACTTCCTGGGACTGCAACCGGTGCCCACTAAAGGCTGGGTCAACCTGGGAGCTAAAGTAATTTCTGAAAAAAGTTTTGCTCCACCAGGGAGCGAATCTGCGACCTTCGGATCCGCGGCGAGCATCTGGTCGCTCTGCCACGGCGACTCCTGCATTGAAAGGTGCAGATATCAAAGTCTAGATGTGAACTACAACACAGTGTGCCAACTGCCCGCTAAGGCTGAACGGGAGGAGCAGGAAGATGAAGACGAAGAAGGAAGAGAGTTGAGTTGAGCTGAGTCAAGAATCAACATCACAGCGCTCGGGGCATTCCCATGTGTGCTCCATCCTTATCTTCAGCAGCCAGCGCAGAGTTCCAATACTGATGGTACCGGTCACAATCTGGTTATATGTCTGTCTTGCCTTTCCTCTGAGTGTAGTGAGCCGGCCAGACCCTCTGGTTACACCCAGGTGCCTCATTCTCTCCAGGCCATAATAGGAGGAAGAGAAAAGTCCTCATTCTTGTCTCTCTAGTCATGTAGTGCTACACAAAAGATTCACCGTGTTAACTCAGTTCACCAACAGAAAGAAAAACTACCTGTTTCTGGGCAGTAAAAACAGCATTCATGAAGTTCATGTACTGGGACGGGCAGTCCTCAGATCCTTTGACAACCTGCGGGCAGAAAGATTCCAGAAAGGTTTACATCATTAGAGGACTTCTATTTCCAAGATGGCTGTGGGCTGCTGTGTAAGTGTTCAGTTACTTTTTCTTTCAGATTGTTCTGTCCCTATGTCATACACTACTATTTTTTTTTTTCTTCTTCTTCTACTACTAAAAGGACTCATCAGCTGTCAAGTCTAGCGGAAAGTTCTGGTTGTTCGTCCACTGATGGTCAGCGGGTCAAATCCAGCCCGCAGAGACCTAGTAAGTGGCCCATGGATCATTGCAAGTTAAGTTGTAATAATGATCTTTCAATGCTGGGGTATTAGCCCTCTGGCCCATGACGATCCCCATGTTCAATATTTTAGCTCCTGAGTAAACTGAGCTGACTAGTCCTGTTCTTAAACTTGAATTTTGTTTAAATGTTCGTTTTACAGATGATGATGATGTATGGAGTGTGACGATGATCACGATGATGTATGAGGAGAGGGGTGATGATGATAATAATGATGTGTGGACAGTGATGATGATGATCATGATTATATATAGGACACTGTGGGGCCTCTTGCTCGGGGGTGATTAACCTTGTGGACAGTGATGATGAAGATGGAGGTGATGCTGTAGATGTCTGGACAGTAATGATGAGAAAGATTATATACATACAGTGATTTTTTATTTGATATAGCAGACTATGGTGGTTAAGATAACAACAGACATGGTGTGACCTCTGTATAAGGACAGCTGATTTTGAAGATGATATAAGGACATGGATGAAAAAAATGATGATATAATGACAGTGATGATAAAGATGATATAAGGACAGTGATGATAAAGATGATATACAGACAGTGATGATGAAGATAATATAAGGACAGTGAGGATGAAGATGATATACAGACAGTGATGATAAAGATGATTTAAGGGCAGTGATGATGAAGATGATATATGGACAGTGATGATAAAGATGATTTACAGACAATGGTGATGAAGATGATACACTGACAGTGATGATGAGGATGATTTACAGACAGTGATGATAAAGATTGTATACAGACAATGGTGATGAAGATGATACACCGACAGTGATGATGAGGATGATATACAGACAGTGATGGTAAAGATGATAGACAAACAATATAAAAAGAAGATATTATAAGAACAGTGATGTTGAAGATGATATATGGACAGTGATGATGAAGATGATATACATACAGTGATGATGAAGATGATATACAGGCATTGATGATAAAGATGATATACAATGGTGATGAAGATGATACACTGACAGTGATGATGATGATATACGGACAATGGTGGTAAAGATGATAGACAAGCAATGGTGGTGAAGATAATATAAGGACAGTGATGATGAAGATGATACATGAACATTGATGATGAAAATGATACATGGACAGTTGTGATAAAGATGATATACTAACAGTGATGATGAAGATGATATACAGACAGTGGTGATGAAGATGATATACAGACAGTGATGATGAATTTGAACAAAGAAGACACAAACAATAGACTGCACATATTATTGCCTGGCATATTTTGGTCAGGTGCACACTACAGTAACAAGTGATTAAAATGAAGCAAATTGATGATATACGGACAGTGATGATAGATGATATAAGGACAGTGATGATGAAGATGACACACGGACAGCAATGCTGAAGATGATACACAGACAGTGATGATGAAGATGATATATGGACAGTGATGATGATGATATACGGACAGTGATGATAAAGATGTTATACAGACAGTGATGCTGAAGATGATACACAGACAGTGGTGATGGCACCACCAAAAAAAGTGACAACTTACCAGGATGCGAACTGACAGGTTTTCTCCAATGGGACAGTCTTTTTCCATTCTGTGAGCATCTTCAGGTGGTTAAGTGACCCATGGAGCACAATATATCACTGCTAGCATTTCGTCTCGCAAGCAGCAACGACTGGCCCAACAATCTTGGGTTTCTTCTTCTTCTTAGCTTTCACCGGCAGAAAGTTCTGGTTGTTTGTCCATTTCTGAACTTTGGTCTTGTTCCAGAACTTGGGTTTTGCATCAATCAATCAACTGACGGTAATCCGGGGGCCACTTACTGGGCCCAGGGACAGCCAGTTGAATAGCCCTGATCTACAGTATCTGTAATTCTGGCAACCACACACACATGGATCCCAGCTGATGCTGCAGAGATCATGCATTGTGCTATGAACCTCCCTGCATTATCTACAGGAGGAGCCTGGAGCACATGAGATATCAGTGTGCGTTATCTATATGCCCTATACACCTAAAGGCGCAGAAAATGGACTTTTACTTTTGCATGTTGATGTAACTATGTTGTAGCGCACCTGATTTTTAAAAAGTGAACATATTCCTGGCAGGAAACTGTGCAATGTATTGTTTGTGTCTGCATTATTTAAACGTTGACAAGTTAAAAGTCAAAAAGATCAACTTTACTGCACTGAATTATTCTACATGGCTCTCTTTATCTCTGCAGAATCACCATCCACCTGGCCAGAGTGTCATACAAAGCACAAACGCCACAGCTCTAGTAATTTATGTACAAACTGCACTCGTGAACACAACTTATCTGTGACGTGAACTCATGACCAAGACGGCCTGAAGAAAACATTGTGACCACTTTATTACTGAAACCTTAAACTACATAAACAACATATGTACAACATACCTACAATACCAGGGGCAAGGATACAACACAGGGCCATACACATAGCACCGGCAACCAGGGAGTCACTTGGGGGTGGCTGCTCCTCCATTTCAAACAAATCCTCCAATTTCTCTTTGTCTGGAATATTTTTAAAGAGGAAAAAACCATTTGTTACAGGGGAGCAAAGAGAAAACAATATGTACTCACAAGTAAACAACTGGAAAAACTAAGTGTGACAAAAACAAAACTAACAGAATGTGAAAGAAGGAAACAAACGGAAACTAATGTGTAACAACTAATAATGACAAAATGAGAAACTAATGTGTAACAACTAATAATGACAAAATGAGAAACTAATGTGTAACAACTAATAATGACAAAATGAGAAACTAATGTGTAACAACTAATAATGACAAAATGAGAAGATAATGTGTAACAAGGATACAAATGGAAAATAATGTGTAACAAGGATACAAATGGAAAATAATGTGTAACAAGGATACAAATGGAAAATAATGTGTAACAACTAACGAAACAATGAAAAAATAATGTGTTGAATCAACATCACAGCATAAGGGACACCCCCATAATCGCTCCACCCCATCTTCAGAAAGCAAGTGAAGAGTTTCAATTCCAATGGCACCAGTAACTGTCTGGTGTTATTTCCGTCTTGTCTTTCCCCTGAGTGTTGAGCTACAGCCAGAGCTCCTAAATAATGTATAAAAGCAACCAAACAATGGAAGAATAATTTATAGCAACAACAAAGCAATGGGAACATAATGTAAACAATGAGAAAAAAAAAGGTGTAAGAAAGATACATACAGAAAACAAAATCTATCGACAGATCACAGCTTTTTTTTTAAATGCATCTAATAGGCAGAAGTTGTAATGACACATGTCAACAAATGACACATGTCAACAAATGACAATTACCTTTAGCTATTAATTGAGACATCTGGAATTTGACCTGTCCTTCAACTTGTCTGAAGTCATTGTACTGACCATCATCTGGCAACTTGGTCATGTTGACTTTTTCTGTTGGAGGTCTCGGATACAAGAATACACTAGACAACAAGAGAGAAATAAAAAAGTAAAACAGCATGGCTGACAATTTGGTTTTCTCAGACAGGGTCACTGGGTACAGGAATACACTAGACAACAGGTGGCGGGGGGGGGGGGGGGGGGGGGGATCCTGGACACACTAGTCTAGTAGACCCTAGGATGGATCCTGGACACACTAGTCTAGTAGACCCTAGGATGGATCCTGGACACACTGCACTAGTGGACCCCAGGATGGATCCTGGACACACTGCACTAGTAGACCCCAGGATGGATCCTGAACACACTAGTCTAGTTGACAACAGGATGGATCCTGGACACACTGCTCTAGTGGACCCCAGGATGGGTCCTGGGCACACTGCACTAGTGGACCCCAGGATGGGTCCTGGACACACTGCACTAGTGGACCACAGGATGGGTCCTGGACACACTGCACTAGTGGACCCCAGGATGGATCCTGGACACACTGCTCTAGTGGACCCCAGGATGGATCCTGGGCACAATGCACTAGGGAGGGGTTAGAAGGTAGGGAGGGAAGAAGGGGGGGAGGAAGGAAGGAACAAATAAACAAGAGTGGTAGAAACAAAAAAATAAGAGTGGTAGAAACAAATAAACAAGAGTGGTAGAAACAAATAAACAAGAGTGGTAGAAACAACTAAACAAGAGTTGTAGAAACAATTAAACAAGAGTGGTAGAAACAAATAAACAATAGTGGTAGAAACAATTAAACAAGAGTGGTAGAAACAAATAAACAAGAGTGGCAGAAACAATTAAACAAGAGTGGTAGAAAAAAATAAACAAGAGTGGTAGAAACAAATAAACAAGCGTGGCAGAAACAAATAAACAAGAGTGGCAGAAACAATTAAACAAGAGTGGTAGAAACAAATAAACAAGAGTGGCAGAAACAAATAAACAAGAGTGGAAGGAACAAATAAACAAGAGTGGTAGAAACAAATAAACAAGAGTGGAAGGAACAAATAAACAAAAGTGGCAGAAAAAAATAAACAAGAGTGGTAGAAACAAATAAACAAGCGTGGCAGAAACAAATAAACAAGAGTGGTAGAAACAACTAAACAAGAGTTGTAGAAACAAATAAACAAGAGTGGTAGAAACAAATAAACAAGAGTGGTAGAAACAAATAAACAAGAGTGGTAGAAACAAATAAACAAGCGTGGCAGAAACAAATAAACAAGAGTGGTAGAAACAAATAAACAAGAGTGGCAGAAACAAATAAACAAGAGTGGCAGAAACAAATAAACAAAAGTGGCAGAAAAAAATAAACAAGTGTGGTAGAAACAATTAAACAAGAGTGGTAGAAACAAATAAACAAGAGTGGTAGAAACAATTAAACAAGAGTGGCAGAAACAAATAAACAAGAGTGGCAGAAACAAATAAACAAGAGTGGCAGAAACAAATAAACAAGAGTGGCAGAAACAAATAAACAAAAGTGGCAGAAAAAAATAAACAAGCGTGGCAGAAACAATTAAACAAGAGTGGTAGAAACAAATAAACAAGCGTGGCAGAAACAAATAAACAAGAGTGGCAGAAACAAATAAACAAGAGTGGCAGAAACAAATAAACAAAAGTGGCAGAAAAAAATAAACAACCGTGGTAGAAAAAAATAAACAAGAGTGGTAGAAACAAATAAACAAGCGTGGCAGAAACAAATAAACAAGAGTGGTAGAAACAAATAAACAAGCGTGGCAGAAACAAATAAACAAGAGTGGCAGAAACAAATAAACAAGAGTGGAAGGAACAAATAAACAAGCGTGGTAGAAAAAAATAAACAAGAGTGGTAGAAAAAAATAAACAAGAGTGGTAGAAAAAAATAAACAAGCGTGGTAGAAAAAAATAAACAAGAGTGGCAGAAACAAATAAACAAGAGTTGTAGAAACAAATAAACAAGAGTTGTAGAAACAAATAAACAAGAGTGGCAGAAACAAATAAACAAGAGTGGAAGAAAAAACTAAAGTCTCACCTTTGGTCAGTATGAGCAGCAACAATGGCCAGTTTATTTCTGTGAGCAAGCATCAGGTGTGAGTTGCCCAGCACCACCACACTATCCATGCAGTGCGTCAAACTTAACTGTAGACAAACAGGCAAATAAATTTGACCTGCGCCGTGCAGAGGAATGATTGTAAATATCCACAAAATGCAATAAATGGAATGTACATCCTGTCTCAGCTGGGGACAACAAAGGATCTGGGAGAATATTTGTGTGAGTGTGTTAGTGTATACACACCATATTTCCCGAAGTATAAGACGCACTTATTTTAAAGAAATACAGTGTCTAAAAACCAAGTATTTTATACAATGGTAACATTGTTACAAAATTATTTGCTAGAAAATATCCTGTACAGGACCTCATTTTGGAATGGCGGTTTACTGGCGACATAACAAGTTACCATGAGAGATGAGTAGAACCAATGGATGCAGTTTTCTGGAGACAGTTTGACAACAGCCGATAGTGTAAAGAAACCAGCTATAAGAGAAGTGTGGATCTGGGTGAAAAGATCCTACGATAATGTGAAGATTGAGATGATTGTCAAGTCATTCTTCAAGCAGGTGTAGCATTTTCAAATGCCCTAGACAGAACTGAGGATGCGGCAATATGAGAAAGCAGTGATTCATCATCAGACACAGACGAGGACATGCTAAAGAACTATCATTTGAATGAGAGTTTTGACAGTGATGTGGAGTTTTCTGATTGCTTATGATGAATACAATGTGAGTTCAATAACTTTATTTAGTCATACTAATTTTTTTCCAAAATTTCCAGTCATAAAATCAATGTGTCTTATATATGGGATATATAAAATTGTGCCATCTCAAAAAAAAATACTTGGGGCTGAGTGGCAGGAAAAAAACACAAGCGCTGACGTATTGGAAAGAGCAGATACTACAACAGTTTTCTCAATGCTCAGTCTATGAAGGCTCAGTTGGCTGGGTTACACTTGGAGAATGGATGATGGCAGAGTCCCTAAGGACATCCTTTATGGTAAATTACAGATGGGTAGAAAATGTCAAGACTGGCTTTTACTACAATATAAAGATATGTGCAAGCGGGAGATGAATGATACAGGTATTGAGATAGATTCGCGGCCTGTGTTGCATGGAACAGGAAAAATAAGGAAGGGAAAGAGAATGAAGAAAAACTGATTTCAGATAGGATGAGAGCTGAGTATCTGATAACAAACACACTAAATACATGAGAGGGCAACAGCTTTCATAAAATCCCATACTCTAATTGTGGTAGACATTTTTATTAACGTGGGCGGGTCTTGCTAGTCACACCCGCAATTGCCACGGGTTGTGATTCCCCTGTCTTCACATAGCATAACATTAAACAGCATAACATTATCGCCTGGAAAGGTACAAACTAACTAGCATCTGCTTATCCAATGACCCCCCAAAAAAATATTAAATTTGATTTTATCTGAGACGTACACTCCAGCATCACACAGAACAGCCCACAAATGACAGCAGTAACTTTTCTTCTTCTTCTTCTTCTTCTTTGGTGATATAAACAGGGATGACTGCAGTAAAGCCAGTTCATTAGATATAAAAAATATTACTTATATTTCATTACCACTAATATCATTACTGCTACTTTTATTTCACCTGATATAAGTATTTATTTTAATTAGTATTTTTATTCTTATTACTGTGATTATCACCACTAATGTTACTGTTACTATTATTTCTACTACTATGTGATTAAATTCACATCACCTTTCCTATTCCTATATTTTATAGTTATAAACCTACCTTCCCATTGGCCAGGTTACTCTCCCCCTTGTTGCTGCGCTTTTTGTTGACAAAGACTGCTGCTGAAACATCTGTTCCTGCAAATGTCTGTTTTTTCCCTTCCCACCTCCGTTAAGCTTCTTAGTGGATTATATTCATCTACTTCAGTATTCCGAGCCCTGAGTTCACAGCTGCAGATAACACCCGCCTCCATTCAACTCTATGATTGGTCCTAACTTTCCAGTTGGTGACTACAAGTGTTTGTATCTCTCCAACATCTTCTCGGTCTGCCACGTAGTCAAAGACCATTAAACTTCCTTGTATAGTTTTTGCCTCTGTGTCATTCTTTCTTCCTACCACAGCCATTTCAGTCTAAAACCCTAAGGAATTTATTATTCGAGGGTCACTTTCCATTTAATCCATCGGAAAACAGAGCTTAGATATCCGCTCCCTGACAAAAATGAAGTTTTACAAGCTTGGGGGTGTCGCCCTCATGCTTCAAACCCCCAGCCTGGAGGACCAGGTCTCTTTGTCTGAGCTCCCCCTTCCCCCCAGGTGTAGATACCTTCAAGCCAAAACTACTGGAATACAAAATTCAAAGACAATAAAACATGGTCTGTTACCTGGTCATTGACTCTTCGTTTTCTGCTCCACCAAAAAGGATTGGTGTCGACAATTATAATTAGTAAACAACTGGTTACTTTGTCTGTGAACAGAAGATGATAGAAACACAAATTACAGAAAAAAGCTCATTATTTTGTCTGAGAATTAAAAGAAACAGAAACAATAATGATAAATAAGTTTTTTTTCTTAAATCAGTATCTTCTTTTTTTTAATCGTCTCACTGATACCAGTTTGTTGCCCAGTGTCATAGTTTTCCGACTTTGTCTTGCACTTTTCGGGTGGCTTGGTTGATTGATTTGTTCATCATTTTGCAGGTTCCGGATACACCATTTGTCCATCTCTTTCCTGGTCTTTCTCTACCCTTCCTCCCAGATGTTCTGCTCTAAAAAGTCTTGTTGCCTAGCTGCATTCTCACTAGATGTTCGAACCATTTCATTTTTTGTCTGTCAATATTATCCAGGTATGGTCTTATTCCATTTCTCTCTAAAGCTGGTACTCGTAACCCTGTCTGGTCATGAGTATCAGAAAACAGAAACACAGATGATCATAAAAAGTCACTATTTTGTCTCTCGTTAACATAAAGACACAATAATGATCATAAAACATCTCATTTTCTGTCTCAGATAACAGAAAAGATAAGAAATCATAATTTGGGTACTATATTTTTTGCTAACCCCGTGATATCATCAATACATCACGAGAGACAGTCAAACAATTTTCAGGGTGGTAAGGTGGGGTTTTCCCCATTTCTAAAGCATGTGGCAAAAGCGCGCGCTTTGCACCTCTTATGACATGTGTTTGCCGCTGCGTCTTGCTGCAGCAGCAGTCTTTATCAGTCGGTGTTTGCCGCCGCGTCCGTCTTGTTGTTCCAGCAGTCGCCATGAATTTTCTCCGATTAGTAGCATCTGTGCCTGCCTGACAAAGAGACCAGCATTGCCTTCCCTCAACAGCATGGAGTTCTGCACAGCATGAGGAGACGTACGTTGTAGAAACAACCATGAGATGGTGTTATCGCATGGCTGGAAGGGTCGGTCGTAGCCAGTCACCGTACAGACAGATCAATCTGTTTTTATACTGCTGATCTCAAGAGATAAACAATCATTCAATTTTGCCAAGTAGAGCTGAGCATGTCGCTGACTACGACTGTGGAATGGAGCAACTACTGACGGGAGGTTGTGCCAGTACATTATTACTGAATCCTGCAGTGATCAACAGTGAAGAGAACCCCACTGTTGAAACTGATGAAAGTCTGTTTGCAAGACACAAAAATCATGTTTGATGTGAGCTTTCACAACTAACGTGTAAAATTGCTGTGACTGTCGATTCGTGCGTCAACCCAGCAGTATTCATCTAGAATGACTGGCCCCTTTTAGGCCAGCCCCACAGTATCCCCAACTGGCAATTTATGCAGTTGCACATACAGTTTACACAACCAAAGTGTACAATTTACATTTATTTTTTAAAGGAAAGTCATGTTGTGATTGAATGCAGCACCTTTTATTTATAAGGCGGATGTGATACCAACTACGCTACACATTCACATGTCAAAATGATCTGAAAACATGACCAGTATTGTACAGCTCCAGCCAACTGCACATCAACGAGCAGCCGATAGAGCACCAACAGACAGAAATATGCCACACCAAAAAACACTAGTGGACCAAACTACAGCAGCACGCTTGCACCTCTTGAAATAGTGGACTGTCCAGTCAGCTGTGGATTTCTGACACTAAACACTGACCCTAAGGGACACAATCTACTGTTTGATTATGGTGATTATAGGTGACAAAAATAATTGTTTGTGAGTGTTTATATAATATTCTATAATATTTAATATATTGCTTCAGGGTAGGGAGCCACAACTCTAACCCTAACCCCAAACATTATTAAATATTGAAGAATAGTATTGAGTGCAGCTTTCCGCTGGCTAGAGAACACGAAACACACACACATATCGTGATTGTAACTGAGAAAGTATGCTGAGGAAGAACAGGACAGGCATGCTTCATGTAGAGTGGCATGCCTCACTACGGAAGACACGGGTGAGAAGCATTGTCTGGATTTTTTCACCAGGGGATGCCGGTGTATTGGGAAATAAACAGGCAGACAGGCTGGCTCTGCACAGCTTGGTGGAATACTGATGCATGATAAGGCAGATGTGGTTAGTGCCTTGTGGGAGAGCGTTAGTGCGGAGGAGCAGATCGATCACCACAGTGTGGTGAGACTGATGCAGTTGGGAGTGACGAGAGGTTCTGGCAGATGTTCGAGGCTCAGAGGAAAGGCGAGACGGACGTTTAATCAGAATGCTATTGGCACCATTAGTATCGGAACTCTTCGAATGGCTGCTGAAGATGGGGTCAGAGCGCTTATGGGAGTGCCCCGAGTGCTGTGATGTCGGTTCTTGAATCAAATCAAATCAAATTATTGAGTGAACTTATACAAACAACGGATTACGTCCCTAGGGTCGGCATTTAAAGTAATGTCAACTTAAAAAAGACTGCATCATAATGACGCTGTTCAAGTAGTGCAAATCAGGCAAATGTCAATATTTTTTTTTTAATAACTCATTACTTTGCCCGACGTTAACAGGGAACTGTATAAGTTAGTATAAGTAAAATGTGTTTATCAGCCAGGTAACGACTGGCAAGTTGGATGGGAAGTAAGCAAGAGGAAGGCAAACAAAGAGACAAAATTATTTGGATGGTTTGCCGTAAGGTAAACATAGCGACTACAGTTTTGACAATTTGCGGTCTTTTTGGCAATTTCCGTTACCATGGAAACCGTTTGAAACTTGTTTCGGAAATGTCGGCTGGGATTTCGGGATGGGTCCTAATCTCTCATGAAATTTCGCGATTGGTGTGATTTTCACCAGCTATAAATAGCTGAAAATGGCGGGAACGAACCCGATTAACAGCGCATGTCTACGACAGCCGGACGTCCTCTGTTTTTCTGTTACATCAGTTTGATTGAAAATAGCGATAAGTATTCAAAGTTGGCTTTAGGCTTTAACTGTTACTCGTCATGCTAGTTATAATTGAATTCTCCGTCCAATTTTACATTTGTGTATAAAATTTCTTTCTTATCAGTGGCTAGTTCGATTTACAATGACATTTTTCAGGCAATCGCTATTATGTGGCTGTGTTTGAGAAAAATTGTCTGCCATCTTGTTAAATGAAAACAAAGCCAAAACGAAAGTGAGCAGTTTGGTTGCGCAGAGAAAACTTCTTGTTTCTGGGAGACAAGTTTTAGCAGCTGTTTTTTTACATCTCATCTCCACAAAAACCTACATATTACGGTTAGTGTCGCCGCATCTCGTCCTCGCACAAACTCATAGTAGCAACCCAAACCCTAACCTTAACCCTAAACCTACCAAACTCTACCCCTAACCCAAACCCTAACCGTATGATGACAGTAGGGCACTGCACGCTGTCTATCACCAACACACAGTAATTATGTCACTTGTTTCGTTCCATCTAGTACTCCGTAATGCGTCGCAAGATGCGGTAATTGAACGCTGTCGCTAATTTGAGTCGCACCGCGGGGTCTGCTAGGCATGTCGACCTCACTGTGTTTTCTGATTCGTGCCTTCTCCAGTCCGTAATTGCACTGCAGCAAGGGGACAGAACTCCGACTAACCGGCCGTCTACTGTTGTCTACCGGCCGTAATAACGTAATTGAAAGGAGAGCCAAGAATTAAGTTAAGTAAGTACTAAGTACCTGTCATCTCTCTGTCTCTGACTGGGGAAACTCAGTGTATCTTCTTCTATAAAGTCGCTCTTCTTCTATATATAATTTCTAAATTACGTTAATGTCATGTCAGATGCTAACATCTAACATCAACGTTCCAAACAAGACAGAAAAATCCAACATCTCATCAACGCATCAGTCACTCTCAGTCCATGGTTTGTTGAACTGGAAAATTGAAACAATAGTGGTTTCCCTTTAAGATTCGTACTTCTTGTAATTCGTCATTTTGACAAAGAATTAAATTAAAAAATGAATTTTAATTAAGCATCAACTGGATCAGCGCTAAATTACTAGATTTTTTTTTAGTACAAAATACCAGCACCCTTTTTATGCATCATTTTTTCAGCACTAATATATATATAGGCACTCTTCCGAGAAACTCGGTCTCTCGTCAGCTCTTCCGCCTCATGTACTTTCATACTCAAGGAATATATATATATATATATATATATATTATATATATATATATATATATATATATATATATATATATATATATATATATATATACATATATGCAAATATACATAATATGATAATAAATATGTTATATATATATATATATATATATATATATATATATATATATATATATATATATGTGTGTGTGTGTGTGTGTGTGTGTGTGTGTGTGTGTGTGTGTGTGTGTGTGTGTGTGTGTGTGTGTGTGTGTGTGTGTGTGTGTGTGTGTGTGTGTGTGTGTGTGTGTGTGTGTGTGTGTGTGTGTGTGTGTGTGTGTGCGCGCGCGCGCGCGCGCGCGCTCGCATAATATAGGTTTTGAAAGAGGCAGAAGCCCGAAGAAAACCTATCAAATACATCAGAAGGAGATAGTCATCATTTTTCAGCCTTATTATGAGAAGAGGGAAAATGGAACATGTTGTGGACAACTGGACAACGAGAGAAGATTCTTGACAGTCTTGTTGTGTGACATGAAGGTTTGTCAACACACGAACTGATACATGCTGCAGGAGATCGCAGACTGTGTGGAGACATGATCGTCAAAGCCAGTCGGCAAGGCACCTGAGGGTGATTAGTGGAACAGATCCTTGTGGTGAGTGACAGCGTGTTTTTTAAGCACACTGTGTAGTGAGTACCGGTACCTGTTTGTAAGCACACTGTGTAGTGAGCACCGGTACCTGTTTGTAAGCACACCGTGTAGTGAGTACCGGCACCTGTTTGTAAGCACACCGTGTAGTGAGTACCGGCACCTGTTTGTAAGCACACTGTGAAGTGAGTACCGGTACCTGTTTGTAAGCACACTGTGTAGTGAGTACCGGCACCTGTTTGTAAGCACACCGTGTAGTGAGTACCGGCACCTGTTTGTAAGCACACTGTGTAGTGAGTACCGGAACCTGTTTGTAAGCACACCGTGTGTAGTGAGTACCGGTACCTGTTTGTAAGCACACTGTGTAGTGAGTACCGGTACCTGTTTGTAAGCACACCGTGTAGTGAGTACCGGTACCTGTTTGTAAGCACACCGTGTAGTGAGTACCGGTACCTGTTTTTAAGCACACTGTGTAGTGAGTACCGGCACCTGTTTGTAAGCACACTGTGTATTAAGTGTCGGCACCTGTTTGTTCATGTTTAAAAAGCCCCTGAATCTAACAGATGCTTTGAGGTAAGTACTGGCAAGATTTTTTTTAATGAAATCTGAATGTGTGATGTACTGGTGCTCTTTACTTGCTACCCACTTAAGGATGGATTCATCTGGAAGCCTAGGTCAATTTTGAAGAAGGATAAAAATTCTAGTTATGTCGAATCTGAACCCACGACCTTCGGAAGTGCTGGCGAGCATCTATCCGATACACTGCGGCTGCTCCCGTTCAGTAACATAATTCTCTGTATTTGTCTTGCGCTTCTCGGGTGGCTAGCGTAATATTGTTCATGTTTCAGTTAAATCGTGCATCTATCTCTTTCTATGTCTTTCCCTGGCCTTCTTACCAGAGGTTCTGCTGTTTAAAAAAAAAAAAGAAATATCAAATGCGGTCTGGTCTGGCTGCCTTTTTACTAGATGGCTGAACCTCAGAGATGTGGTTTCACAGAAAAATGCTTAAAATACCTTGGACAGCCAAAAAAGAGCAACCAAGAGACAAATTATTAGAGACATCAGAAGGAGACAGTCATCATTTTTCGACCATGTTAGGAGAAGAGAGAAAATGGAACATGTTGTGACTACTGGAAAGATCTGTGGAAGGAGGGATATAGGAAGACAACGAAAGAAGGTTCTTGACAGTCTTGTTGCATGGCATGGAGGTGTGTCGGCACACGATCACAGATTGTGGAGAAGCACGAACGCCTATGCCAGTCGGCAAGGCACCTGATGATGATGATCAATATAATTCAGACACGATCTTACTCCAGTTTTATCTCTAATGCTGGTATTCTTCTGTTGCTATTGACCTTGCGGAGGCAGTACATTTCACGGGAGCTTTTGTCGCATTTAATGCCAGGCTTTAATTTATAGACTTATCGGCCCTTTGTGGGTCACTTCGACCCCCATTACTTCCCAAGACATTATCTGCTACCCATTTTAGCATAAGTCCACCTTTGAGCCATTGTCATTTGTTTATTGATGAAAGTTAAAATTATACTTGACGACCAGTTTTTCGAATCTTTTATAAGCGTATACATGAACTCTAAACTGATCCGCCGTGATTCTTGTGAACATATGAAATGGTGAAACACGACAGCCTTCCTTCGATGACATGACACATGATGATGATAATGATGATGATGGGTGGTGGGGGTGGAATTATAGGTGATGATGATTTGATGACAATGACGGCGCACGTGACATAACATTTGATCATGTGACACTAGGGGACAAGATGGCGGAGACAGCAGGTTCCCTGAGGTATAGAGATCAAGTTGTTATAGTCACAGGAGGAGCGTCAGGCATTGGACTAGGAGTTCTCCAGGTGTTTGGTATGTGGCTTTCTTGTGTATTCATTTGCTCTCGTATACACCACGTACTAGCTCAGATATCTACCCGCAGCTTTTTTTTTTTCATTCACATTTTTAGGGGCGGACTTTGGATCCAAGTTTTGAATAAATAAATTATTTAAAAAGTCGGGCAGTCGATTGATGCTAGTTATAGCCACGCCTTTCTGGGGCTATTTATATAAAGAGTGGGCCGTGTTATAGCGTATCAGTGGGTATACTGATAACATGCAAGCCATCCACCAGTCTTCGGGGACATATTGCACGCTTTTCTAGAGATACAGACACGTCTGGGAGAACACATGGAGTAACATAGTGACATTTCCAATGTCCTTTGATGTTTACCTCAGCTACGATATCTGATTATCTCAGCTGAAGGTTTTGGGTTCGAATCCACATTGAGACGGGTTTTTTGTTTTGGGGGTGGGGGTCAAAATTGACCTTTAGCTCCTAGGTTGACCCACCTTATAAAATAGGTACCAGGCAGGGCAGGTTATGGACTTGATGAGGTCCCAAGCTATATAAAACCTTGGGGCCCTTTCAATTTTAAATTACACCAATTTATATAAGACTCCAACATCTTTTTTTTTTTTTAAATAAAATAAGAAAAAACAATACTATCACTACTATATGTATTTAACATCTTTCAGGGTGGTGTAGACAGCCGGGGGAGGGGGGGGGGGGTCATGAGCCTGAGTATTTAGGGCTGCATGGCTAGTGTTGTTGCCACAAACTGTTCAGGTTAGGATGTTTCTGTTTCTTCATTTTCTTATTTGCGTTCACTGGCTGTAAACTCTGGCAGAAATCTCTGGTTATTCGTCTACACCTCTAGACACTTGTCCTGTTCCAAAACCTGAGTGTTGAGTGCATAACCATTTAACAGATCTGTTTGATATGTATGCAGACTGCTGGTTCCTTGCCACTCAGGCAGATGCACTCCAACTTCAAAGGAAGTTCCTAGTTAGCTGACTCTTACGACATGTCTATCGGGAGGCAGTGGGTCCATTCTTGTTTTCCACAAAATGGGGCCACGGAACCCACACACGGGGGTAGTCAGTTGTTTAATTTTGCATCTAACAGAAAATCTTGTTCACTTTGCCCGGGCGGGGGTAGAACCCGGGTTTCCTGCATGAGAGCCTGATGTTGTGACCACTCCACTAAGCAGTCTTTTTAATCTTATACCTATCTCACCAGAAGCCATCCTTAAGGACTCTTCCATCGTCCGTTCTACGAATGTGTTCTAGCCATCCTTAAGGACTCTTCCATCGTCCGTTCTACGAACGTGTTCTAGCCATCTGAGGATTTAAAAACTGAGCATTGAAAAAAAAAACTGTTGTGAAACCTGCTCTTTCCAGAACTAGTGATAATTGCAAGATCTGTAATAACAGCTTATTACCTTTCCTTTAGAGTGAACAAGGCAGGCCAAGGGAGGTATCATGATGCATATGCAACACATAGTCTGTACTATACTGTCGAGGAATTGTGCCATAGGTGGGTGGGTCTTGCCTGTCACACACCCCATCACCATTGGCTGTGATTCCAATGCCTTCCCATAGCACAGTAGAACACTTTTGTCTGGAAAGTCAGAAAGATGCCAGCCAACCAATAACAACCAAGTAAATGAATTGTTATAGCCCTTTGATTTGCCCTACTGCTTGCCAACCTTCAAGAGGATGAAGAAGAAAATATCTTTTTAATTGTTCATGCTGGATGTTGCCTTCTTCTTGTTATCCATGATGTTTGCATATGTACGTGCTCAGAACCATATATATGAGACACAATACATATTGAACAAGGTATATTGCATGCACATATTTTTATTTTCAGTTCACAATGGCTCAAAGGTTGTCTTCTGTGATATTGATGGTAAGTAGGGAGTTAAAGGTTAGTTATGTATCTTTTACAGGATGCTGAAGAGTCAAGCCATGCATTTTTTAGATGTTTTGTGATTTTTGCTAGTCAATTTTATGTTCAGTAGTTTGCCATAGCTTCCCAGATGGTCAGCGCTCCATACCATTGTCAACACAAAACAAAGAGCTCTGCTGTCAAATTGCTGCATCTAAACCAAAAAGGGTGTTTAGGAATTGTGAGCAAGGTTTGCAATACCTAAGCCACAGATGCAGAACGTCGCTCTCATCACAGTCTGCCTGAATGAAACTCGGTCTCTCGCCAGTTCTACCCGCCTTGCACTCACACAGAAGAGTTCATCTTTATCTGTGCCCATCTTCGTATCGGTCGGCCACAAGAAGGAGGAAAACTGGAGTATGTTATTGTCTTGAGCTAGTAGGAATAATAGATAGAGGCAGACAGAGAAAATCTAAAAGTGGTGGACGGCATGCTGAATGACAGTCTCTTGAAAGAAACTGGCTCACAAAGAGAACTGATTTCCCACATCAGAAGAAGAAAACAATCTAAATTCTTTGGTCATGTCACAAGAAGGAGAAATTGGAGTATGTTTATACATAAAACAGGCAAAGGTTGTGAGATGGAAAACATGACTGCTGGACACCACACAGCATGGACTATGGAAGACATGTATCTTTATATACATAAAGTTGTGGATAGACATGACTGCCAACACCACACAGCATGGACTATGGAAGACCATCTGTATCAGAGTTGATTGGAAGTACACGAGACAGAAGGTTGTGGATAGACATGACTGCCAACACCACACAGCATGGACTATGGAAGACCATCTGTATCAGAGTTGATTGGAAGTACACGAGACACAAGGTTGTGGATAGACATGACACCAACACCACACAGCATAGACTATGGAAGACCATCTGTATCAGAGTTGATTGGAAGTACACGAGACAGAAGGCTGTGGATAGACATTACTACCAACACCACACGGCATGGACTATAAGAAGTAGAAGAAGATATGAGAGATGTAGTAAATTAATAGCAAGATAATACCTGCTACAGAGAATGGTTTGGATTCAAAAATTCATTGAGATAAATCAAATATTTTCTTTTCAAACTTGGTCTGTGAAAATATGAGTCTGGCTTCATATGCCTGCATTGCTGATAAAAAGGCGAAAAGGGTCCTTCTTTATTTACCCATTCTGCTATATGGGTATGTGAGATTAAACTCTTTCTGTACCAACCAATCAGCACACAGTGTGTTATCAGCTACTACCATGGCATATCACCACAGCACAGTGTCTGTTATATTTGTCCTGTTAGATCTGTGTATGCTCAAGAAATATAGCTTAATATTTGACTAAGCAGCACAGTATCTGTTGTGTCTTCAGAAGTGACTCATGATGCTGTGGTTAGATTAGATTTCTGCTGTTTAAGTCAGAGCCCAAAAAATGGCTTGCATCTGTTAGAGTGGGGCAAGTGTACAGATCTCTCTCTCAACTCTGTACTGAAGTAGGGACAACATTGCAGGTCTTTCCAAACCTCCTCATACTCATTAACAAGGATGAAAGAATGAAAACACTTTATTTTTTATGGGTCACAAATTGAGCATGCAGACCCATCTTTCATTCTGCCCAAGATGCATTCATCTTTTACACAGATGTGGCATTTTATATGGAAAGCATGTTATGTTCATAAAAAAGTCAACAACAAAAAAATAATAATAAAACATCCCTTTTCGCGCCTTCAGGCCTATCGGGTATATAGGAAGAGCGTCAATATTTTTTACAGACCATCGGCACTAGGTGGGTAATGTGGTCAGCATTACGCCAGCCATCTTTACTTCCCCAGGACAGCCATCCTGGTACCCATTTTAAGCTGGGTCGGCCTGTGACCCTCCATACCATGATAAAAATCCACGCAGCCAGAGGTGGGTTTCGATCGCTGTACTTTTCAATTACGAGTTATGTTCATAAGGATATAAAATCCATCTGTGTAGAAGGATTTGTAAGACCATTATTTGAACTTCATGTCTGCAAAGAAAAAAATAATGAAGAGGTTGGAAACAATTACAGTTATTTAAAAAATACAAGGTTTAGTTGTAGAAAAATGAAGACTGAACAACCAATCCGTTTTTTCTTCAGAAAAAGCTGGTAGAGATGTTGAAACAAACTTAAATGTCAAAGGACCTGGTGAGTGCAAATTCATTTCCTGTGATATCAGCAAAGAGGACCAGGCTCGGGTATGCTGTCTGTGTTGTTCTTTTGTCTTATTCAGTAATAACAGTTAAATTAAATGCAAATCATTACTTCATTCATCTTGTTAATCTTCTTCTTCCTGCGGTTAATAGTGCCAGTCCTTTGCTGGTTACCGTGACTTCTTGTACATCCAGTGTGCCGCTGATGTTTTGCTGTACCAATCTTCACTCCGAATTCTTGCATTCTTGAATATACATTAGTGGTACATTGACTTGGGAACTGCTCTACATACAAAGTTTTTGAGATACAAACTTTTTTCTTATCCCATTTTGACTTCTACCTGTAAATTTAGATTCCAGATGTGAACCGTAATGGACTGCTCATGCATGCATTTTTGTTGTTACCATGTCACATTCATCTGAACCACCATCTTCATTCAGATAAGTCAGATCTGTAAAACTGTTGTGCACGCAACACTCAGGTTCTAAGACAAGACTAAAGTCCAGAGGTGGACAAATAATCAGAACTTTCCGCAGGAGTTACAGCCGAGGAACATGAAGAAGAAGGAAGTTGATGATGCAGACACGACACAGAGGAGCTGATAGAGGAGCATAATATTAAGCTGACCACTGAAGAGCTAAATGAGTTCAAAACTAAAAAGGAAAGAGTAAATGATGAGAAGAAGAGCAAATGTCTTCAGAGAACGAAGAAAGCAATCCTTACAAGTGTCATTCAAACAAATCTTGCAGCATTAGGGCGGATTAGAACAATTAGTGAACATGTAGCATCCTCATCAGTTTGTTTCCATAACCACCTATGTCTTGAGTGACAACGTCATTAAACATTTTAAAAGGGACACAAGGAAACGAAAAACACAGATAACGATAGATTGATAGATAGATATAATACAGATAAATAGACAGACAGACAGACAGACAGACAGAATACAGATAGATAGATAGATAGATAGATAGATAGATAGATAGATAGATAGATAGATAGATAGATAGATAGATAGATAGATAGATAGATAGATAGATAGATAGATAGATAGATAGATAGATAGATAGATAGATAGATAGATAGATAGATAGATAGATAGATAGATAGATAGATAGATAGATAGATAGATAGATAGATAGATAGATAGATAGATAGATAGATAGATAGATAGATAGATAGATAGATAGATAGATAGATAGATAGATAGATAGATAGATAGATAGATAGATAGATAGATAGATAGATAGATAGATAGATAGATAGATAGATAGATAGATAGATAGATAGATAGATAGATAGATAGATAGATAGATAGATAGATAGATAGATAGATAGATAGATAGATAGATAGATAGATAGATAGATAGATAGATAGATAGATAGATAGATAGATAGATAGATAGATAGATAGATAGATAGATAGATAGATAGATAGATAGATAGGTTTTTGAAACCTTCCTCACCAAAGAAACAGAAGAAAGCCACTGATGACAACTGAGTAAGTCTACAGATTATTCTCGTTGCACATCTAATCATTCAGTCCATACGTGCTTGGATCCTGTCCCTAGTAAATCCTGTAGTGCGTAGCGGCTCACAACATACATTCTCTGTTGGTTTCTTATTCTCCTCTGGCTTCCTGCACAGTGCTCTTGTCTGGCCACACCCCTTTCAACATGTTCTTGCAGTCTGGTCATGGTTGCAGATTCACAGTCATCACTTGATTCTCGCAAACGTCTGATGTCTCGTAAAGAATTCAGAATATCTGCCTGATCTATGGCTCGTCCGCCCTCCACAGTAACTTTACCTGCAAGCCTATCAGCTTGCTCATTTCCTTGCACGCCTTTGCACCCTGGCTTAAATATGAAACTGATTTGTATCAGCCCTGACCGCCTGAAATGACAACTGATGACAGGAAGTATTGTTACAATTTAATGGAATATGATTTTCATACAACATAATATGTATCAAGATTTAATAAATTAAAAATGTTAATGGTATTCAAAATGCTTATCTATCACCAAATAAAGGGCTCCTTCTCATTCTTAATATATTTCTGTGCATTTTTTAATTTGGGTGAGTGGGTGAGAGTAATTCAATTTTTATTATTAGATTTTTTTTTTTTTATTAATTGTTTTTAAATTTTTAATCCGAAAAAGGATTAATTGATTTGACATAAGATGTAATGGTAAGAGTCACCTTGGTTTAGCAGCTAGATGCTCCCCTGTGGATCAGAATGTCCTGGGTTCGGGTCCTGAACGGAGACATACTTTTTTTTAAAAATGACCTTGGCTCCCAGGTCGATCCGGCTTTGAGTGGGTACGAGATGCAGTCATGGGAAGTAAAGGCAGTCGGCATGGTGCTGACCCTATTACCTGCCTAGTACCAATTGGGTGTTCTTTCCATATGCCCTATGCGCCTAAAGGCGTGAAAAAGGATCTTTACTTTTTACTGTTTTTTTTTTTTCAAGATTTAGTGGGAAACCTGGCTTTGAATTATAACATCACAAGATAAGAAACAGCCACCAGGAACGAATTAAGTTTTTTAGTCAAAGTATCACTGTATGTAAATCTATAAATGTGTGTTTGCGTGCATGCATGCATATACATACATATATATATATAAGGAAAATGACTTGATAACTTCACTGCAAGAGATGAATAAACTGCAGTCTGTCCATGTTATAGGGCTTGATAGACTGATTTGTTGAATAATTGATTGATTTGTTGGTTGATTGATTGATTGATTGATTGGTTGGTTGATTAAATGATTGATTAATTGATTGATAGATTGATTGGTTGAAGAATTGATTGATTGATTGATTGAGCTATGCTTTTCTTTAGAATGTTATTGAAACCACAGTTCAGACATATGGAAAGTTGGATTGCCTTGTCAACAACGCTGGCTTTCGTAAGTGTCATGCTGAATCAGATATCATCATGTGTCTTGCTTAATGGTATTGACATTCATGTTTATTCAGGGTTTTTTAATCCTTCTCTGGATTCCAAACTCCTTGGGAGAAGGGCGACCCAGGGGCCGGTGGGAAAACAACATCCGGTAGTCCCTAACAGACAGAGGATTGGAATGGAACAAAGCCGGAAAGAAAACTGCAGATAGAGAAGTCTGATGATCTCTCTGTCAAACCTTCACACCCCAAGGTAGAAGTGGAGCGACTAAGTAAGTAAGTCCTATGAAGTTGAAATGCATCTGACTGAGAGGCAAAGAGGCTAAGCTACAATCTGCTTACAAAACAGTCAGATCTGTAAATTGAATGTGCATGCAGAACTCAAGTTCTGGGACAAGACTAAAGTAGACGAACAAGCTGAACTTTTCGCTGGAGGTTACAGCCGGTGAGCGAGAAGAAATAGAAGTTATTGTTATCTGTTGATGATATTCCTTCTTGCACTTTTTTAGACCACTAGGCATCATATCGCTCGGCCTGCCTCTAGTTCTTCTTTCTATCAACACCATATTTTCTTTAGAGCTGGTCTTCTTAATAACATATCTTCTGCTGTGTTTGCCCTTAAAAGGGTACTTGGCATGTTGTATTTTGGTTTACAGCTAGGTAACCAAAACACTCCAGCAAACTATGTTCCAGGTGCCTGCTACGGGCAACTCCCACCTGATCGCACAGATCCACCTATGTGATGTGCAGTGACAATCCTCTGACAGTTCATCCTCTAAATGCCCCCGCCACCCCCGAACTCAAGATAGATGCACCTCTTGGTGAAAACTCCAGACCTCCCATCTGCTTTTTCAGCCACTCATCACTGACTAATATCTCGTTAATCAGCCTTTGATACCTGCTCATAAGAAGTCCGTGTTGATTAACATACACAAGGTCCCCAGCACCTTCTGTGCCCTTACGATTACACCGTCAACCGCGTGCCCCATAGCCGGAAAAGTACCAACCCCACAAACACACGAGCCGCACAACCATCCATTATAGAAAACACAGTGGCAGAATTCCAAAGTCCAGCTCAGATCCACCACAGTCATGCAGACAGAATAAAACATTGCTAAAACACACTCCAAGCATCCACTGGACACACAGACTCACACAACTTGAACACACACGTCTACACAGTTTGACTGACTGAAAGCTACTCACACAAAAACCACGCACCAGCGGTCAGCCCCACGTAGGTCTCACATTCCCCACACAACTTGGGGAGTCTGCAGCCATCCGTGAATATCAGTCAGTCTCTAGTTCACGAACTGTAAGTGGCTCAAATGTTTGCATTCCCAACCTGTCAACCAAAGCTCAACCAAAGTCCTGGCTTTATTAACTCTCAAAACCCCACAGTGATTTCGCAAACAACACACAGTGAGCAGCAGAATATTAACTCTTTCAGTACCAAGGAGTGCGAGCCGCCATGTAGCGGCTAAACGCTCGCCTGAGGATCGGAAGGTTGAGTTTGGTTCCTAATGGAATCTGGACTTTTTTCAGTAATGACTTTGGCTTCCAAGTCGACCCAACCTGGAGTGAGAACCAGGTATAATCCTGGAAAGAAAAGGTGGCCGGACGGATATTGACAACATCAACCAAGCACTAAATGGACTATAAAATATAGGTCTAGCCCTATATGCCCAATTCGCCTGAAAGTGTGGAAAAGGAAGGACTAGACCTACTACTCACTAACAAGCCTTTCAATAAATGAGACTAATAAGATTTTGCTGAAATCAATATTGTTGTTGAATGCTGACAGATCCGCCACATCGACCTATTGATGACTTCTCCACGGATGATTTCCGAGCCCTGAATGAGATCAATGTTCTAGGTTACTTTACTACTTGCAAAGTAAGTGTTGAAAGTATTTCTTCATTGTTTGGATTAAAAAAATGTTTGCTGTTTTTAGAATTCATAAATATGTGTGTATATATACAAACACACATATATATAAATGTGTGTGTGTATATATATATAGTTATTTGTTTTCCAGTGGTCTTAGGCGACCCCTTTGAAAGGGCCCGTAGACTCCCAAAGGGGTCGCGACCCACAGGTAGAGAACCGCTGTCCTGAACGCTGTGCAGGTGTGAGTATGACCAATAGCATTAATATGTCTCTTTAGAAAAGTTGATTAATTGACATTTACAGCGAGTGAAGCAAACCAGTACTATTGGTTCCACAGCTTCTTCAGGTGAAACCGTTAACATGAAATTACCTGGTAAAACCATCAACAGCCAAGAAATGCTTGAAGGGTGTTGTAAGGACCAACTGGGAGCGAGTGAACAGTGTGAGGGCACAGTGTGAGGGCACAGTGTGAGGGCACAGTGTGAGGGCACAGTGTGAGGGCACAGTGTGAGGGCACAGTGTGAGGGCACAGACAGACCATCATGATCTGAAGAGAATGTTGCAGTGAGGGGTGACCGGGGAATCTGGTCGACGCTCAGCACTCAGGAGGGGGGGGGGAATGAGACAGATACACAGTCTTGCAAAACTCCACTGTGAGTGGAGTTACCTTCATCTTTGTCCCAGGGCATGCGGGTCTCGTCGGCAGTGAAAGAGCCAACAGATTAGCTGGCTCTGCCTTAGTTACAGAGGGCCAGCCAATGGATCATGCCGACATTGTTAATGCCATAAGAGAGGTCGGACGTTTGGATGATTTTGGGAGCAACACATCCACATCTTTGCTAAGAGTGCAAGAATTGGGAGTAAAGATCGGCACAGCCAGGCACAAGAAGCACACTGGACGCATGAGAAATTTTGTCAGCCAACATAGGACTGGGACCATCAACCGCAGGATGCTGATGTTTATGTCAAAGGGGGAATCTGAGCACCTATGGACATGTCCGGAGTGCCGTGAAGATAATCCAGATCATAACTCAAGATGCACAGACTGTTAATGGTACCAACAGAATTGGAACTATGCACTTACTGCTGAAGATCGGTATGGAGTGCTTATGGGATTGTCCTAAGTGATATGATGCCAGTATTTAACTCATACTCTTCTGTTGCAGTACGCCTTGCCTCACTTACGTAAAACTCAGGGAAATATCATCAACAACTGTAGCCTTGTGGCCTACATAGGGCAGTCTGGAGCTGTCACGTATGCAGCTACTAAGGTATGCCTCATTGTCTGATGTTATACCATTGTGAAACTGGATCAGTCTAGCAACGTGGTCTTCTTCTTCTTCTTCTTCTTAGCATTCACTGGCTGTAAATTCCATGAGAAATTTCTGGTTATTTGTTCATTTATGTACATATGTTTTAGGGATCTGATTTATTTGCATGCAGACTGTTGGTTTCTTACCTCTCACACATATGCACTCAGACTTTAAAAGAAGTCACTCCTAATTGGTCAACTTGTACTACATGCTTGTTAGGGAGAGTGAATATATTCTCTTCCCTCCCCAAAATGGTATCTCCCACCCGGAGCAGACCAGGGTTAAATTTCAGTGAACCTACCTTGATGTAGATTCATCCCCAAGACTTTCAGACTAGCAAATTAAAATCTAGCAGCTATGTCACTGCTGCTGCCACTGAGGAACTTAGGACCACACAATCTGTTTCTGTAGTAATTCCAGCCACTGAAGTATTTAGGTAATCAGGCCGTGGCAGTTCCAACTTTCATAGCAGACAGATCACCGCATAGTTGCACCGTTCTTTTGCCATCAAAAACTATACAGATTGTTCATCACTGTCCCATGAAAAAAAAAAAAAATTGACACAGAATACAGTCTTAGCACATCCAGCAGCATACACACTCATTAAATGCACAAAGCAGCAGTTAGAAATGCCAACACAAACAGTCTGACAACCTGGACCATGCTGTGCAGTCGAAAAGTATTCCAAATGAAATCTACAGCTCATAGTGTTGCCCCATTCACTCAACTCAGTAGCTGGGTGATGGAATTATGTTCTTTTAGTCTACTTATGACATGAAAATAAACATCTCAAAAACTAAAGTAATGACCATTGGAAAGAAACACAGTAATGTAAACATAAAGATCAATGACATACAATTAGAACAAATTCAAGAATTCAAGTACTTAGGATGTATATTTACAGAAGATGGAAGACTCGATAAAGAGATACAGGCTAGAGTTCAAAAAGCCAATGCAGTCAACTACCAACTGGCCCCACTTCTTCGTCATCCAAAGATCTCGTTACCAGCCAAACAACGGATGATCAACAGCATTTTCATCCCTACGTTATGTTATCAGTGCCAAACGTGGACAATGAACAAATCACATATGCAACAAATAACTACGTGTGAAATGCGATGTCTCCGAAGAGTCACCAACAATACACGAAGAGACAGAGTCACAAACGACAGCATTAGAGACAAAAGTTGGAACAAGAGCATGCAGGGAACATATTGAAAGACAGAGAATGAAGTGGTTTGGCCATTTAGTAAGAAAGCAACTGGATCAGATTGCCTATAAGGCCTTTTACAGTAGAACATCGGGAAGAAAGGCCAGAGGAAGACCCAGGAAAAAATGGATAGATGGAGTAGCTGAATACGGCCAGAAGATCCAGAAAACTGTCACTCAAATCACGCGAGAGGCACAAAACAAATATTTTAAAACACGACACTGGGCTGCAACCCGGTAAAAGTGAAGAAGACAAATAGATAGATAGTCTACTTATGAAGGAAAATGCCATAGCTAAATATTGTCAGAAGATGTTACTTTCCCCATTAAAAAAAGTGAACCCACCTATCCGCCAGATTAATCAGAAGAGTGAGTGTATCCCTCTAACTGTACTAGTCAAATAAAAGAGCCATTTTCATACCACTGGATAATATGGTATATGTCACCTGCCCCAGATTTTTGTAGATCAGTAGGTACTCAGTCAGTTGATGTTCAGACAGTTAAATGTTCGGACAGTATGTTCTTTAATCTTGGCTTCTGCAGCAGATAAATTAGTTGTGTAAACTTTACAGCAGTGGTCTCCAACCTTTTAGGTGGTGCCCCCTAGAGTTTATGGAAAGGACCCCCCTCCCCCCTCCCCATTGTCCAACATAACAAAATATGATTAAAAAGAGGATGACCAAAGAAAACTTAAAAAATTCACAAGCACAATTAACTCTTTGAGTCCCAGGGGGTTTAGCATCAGAGGCCCAAAAGGTAGTCAAGAGAGAAATAAAATCGGCGCATCTTGCGTTCATAGGGCTTCTGGGTAGGAACCTGTGAACGTATAATGTGTTCCTTGGGACTGAAAGAGTTAAAAAGAACCTGAAAAACAAACGTCCACATGACTCAGTGTTAGATAACAAAGAAACAGTCACGACTAACTGGTAATTGAGTGTCCATGTATGAGTGTGTTGGTTCAGACTGTTTTATCTTGTTGATATCCGCTATTATCAGTCTGATGTAGGAAAATATGGAAATCAGTCTCCACATCAAGCTGGCAGGGCTGTTTGTTATTTTACATAATTATTAAAGCTGAAAATCCGGATTCTTCTTCTCTTCCACCTTTTACCTCATCGAAGTGTCGGGGGGAGGTGTATTGTTCATTGATGAGCTCTGTCAAGAGCACTATTAAGACCCAAGTTCATTTCTGTAAGGCTGTTCTTAATGCCATCACTCCATCTTTTCCGAGGTCTTCCACTCGCTCTATACCCCTTGTAACGTTTTAGTGTGGCTCGCTGTGGTGGATAGTACCAGGGCATTCTTGTTAGGTGTCCAAACCACTTCATTTGTTGTACTTTGATGACCTGTAAGACTGGCTTTATTCCTAGCATTCGTCTGATTTCATGATTTTGTATTCTGTCTTTCCTTGAAACTCCTGCAGCTCTTCGAAGGCATTTCATCTCTGTTGTCACAATTTTACGTTCATTATTACAAGTACAAATGCACTAAGTTGTTAAATACTTGACGCCTGTCTTGAAACTCCACATGCAACAACCCCCCCCCCCCCCCCCCCCCCCCCAAGGTTGGAGACCACCAATTACGGGATATTGTAGAACCGACCCCAGCATTTTTTTTGCTGTTTATGATTTCACTAGGCAGTTTTACGTTCAGTAGTTTGCCACTACTTTCTGATCGCTCAGCTGTCCTTACCACTGTCGGACCATTACAGTGCCAAATCACCCAGAGATGGGTAGGACGTACATCTTGGAATTACAAAGCCTGTTCGCAACGTCTAAGACGCAGACTGACACAAAAACCTAATTAGTATTCATCAGTGTATTCGCATGGCAGAGAGGAGAGCAATTATTGCCTGCACTGTAAACAGTAGGCAAAAGTTGTCCAGTTTAAACAAAACTGTCATTAAAGACATTTTCATCAATGCAGAATGAAAATAACCAGTTCCTTCACCAAATTATTCTTTACCATGAAGCTTAATGGCAAAAGGGGAAGTTGTTGATGATAATGATGATGATGATGAAACAAAACTATAGAAGAAAAGAAGTTAATAAAATAATCTGATAATTTTAAATGCTGTTATTTACTTGATGTGCAGTAAATTGTTTCTTCTGGCAGTGTGTATCATTACTTAATGTTCAGCTTTGACATTGTTCATTCTGGCAGGGTGCTATCGTATCAATGACCAAAGCCCTGGCAATTGATGAAGCCAAGTACCGTGTCAGAGTCAACTCGTGAGTGCTCTTGTTCATAAAGCTGGTACACATAAAAATGATATCTAAATGCAGAAAATTCTGTTGTTTGAAACTAAATTTTATATAATCTTCACCTTCTTCTTCTTTTTCTTCTTCTTCTTCTTCTTCTTCTTCTTCTTCTTCTTCTTCTTCTTCTTCTTCTTCTTCTTCTGCTGTGTTCCCCATTAAAAGGGCAGTTGGCACCTTGTGTTGAGTTTTACAACTGTGCCTTTTGGTCTGACACATCTAATTTCATAAACCCCTAATTAGTCACTTTACGACATGCTTTTCCCCCACTCCGGGTAGAGGTTAGGGTTTGGTGGGGGTTGGCTGGAACCCACATGGGGAATGTTTTTATCTGGTCTCTCTGTTATTCAACTGTGAGTATTTCAGTAAAACCCAAAACTAGAATGATCAGCTTTGCAAAAATACAAAAACAAACAAAAACACTGATGCTACTACAGTAAAAATAAAACTACAGAAAAGTCACTTTAAAGTAAAAAAAAAAAAGTAAAGAACCCTTTTCCACGCCTTTAGGTGTATAAGGCATATAAGGCTAGATCTATATTCTATAGACCAAAAACACAAGATGGGTGATATATCTTAGAAGTATAATTTCAGACACACATCGTGTAGTTGTGAAATTTTTTTTTTACACGTGACACCCTCCGGCTGAAACCATGGTAGTTCATTGACCAGCATGACAGACTCCTGACAATACCATAACCTTGTAAAATCGCAGACAGCCAAAAAATGATGGGTTTGCTTCTGCAACATCCTGAAAGAGCTATGCAACATCCTGTAAGAGCTATGCAACATCCTGTAAGAGCTATTCAACATCCTGTAAGAGTTATGCAACATCCTGTAAGAGCTATGCAACATCCTGTAAGAGCTATGCAACAAATTCTATATTTTTTTTAAACTGTCAGGTTTGCCCCAGGAAACATATGGACGCCACTGTGGGAGAGATGCGCCCGAGAATCCTCCAATTATGACAAAACAATCAAAACAGGCAAAGATGCCCAGGTAATATCTGTTATCATTGTTTTCATTTTTCCTCTTCTTCTTTGTTTTTCTACTCTTGGAATGCCTCATAGCGTCAGGGCAGGAAGAGATCTTTGGAACAAGCACTTCTGTTTATTTCGTAATTAATATTTCTGTGGTCCATATTTTGTGTTGTTAACCTCTGGCTCTGTTACCGCTGTATCTGTATAACATTGCTGTCTTTGGTGCCCTGTCTGTTGCTAGTCTTGTTACATGGCCAAACCATTTGATCTGCTGTCTACCGATAAAGTTCAGGATTGGTTCTGTGCCAACTCTCCTCCTGATATGATCATTTCTTAGTCAATCTTTCCTTGTTACACCTAATATGTCACGTAAACATTCCATTTCTATTGTTTTCATTGTCATTTTAAATTAGGTGTGGATCCCTTAGGATAGTACAAGGGAGAAGAAGAGAGTGTCAGCCATGGTGCTAGGGTCAGCATCTACTCCTTGAAACATTTGCTGCTGGAGTGGAGCATCAGTGAGGATAATTATTATGCAGTGATGTTGATTCTGTTGTTGTTCCAGGTTTGGGTTAACATGTCTTTAGACAGAGCCTAGAGTCTATATAACAGTTTGAAACTGATTGCAACTGTATAGTGCAGTGTTTCCCAAACTTTTCTTAGTCGCTGCGCCTTTTTTCAATTACAGTTTTTCCACGGTGCCCTAACCTAAGTAAAAGTATGACTGTTCGTATGTGAGAGATAAAAAAAAAAAACTTCGTGTATTTTTAAATATTTTGCGGCGCCCCTATGAAGAGGTCGCATCTCCCCGGGGCGCGGTAGCCCACAGCTTGGGAATCACTGGTATAGTGTGTAAACATGCTGGGTATGATTATTTATTTTACAAAACCTCTGAGTCCTTGTCAGTCACAAAAATCTAACTGTACTAGTTGGGAAAATCCTGCCACTTCTCGGAACTGAAACTAAACCACTGCCTTTGTAAGTAAGAATACTTAAATTAATTTATAAAGTATATTTACATTTGCAGCTTCTCCTGAGGTTTGGCACTTTAGAAGAGCATGGGAAGGTGTGTCTGTTCTGAAACTAATTGAAAAGTATGTTTATGTCCACAGCTCCTTGGGAGGTTTGGCACTATAGAAGAGCATGGGAAGGTGTGTCTGTTCTGAAACTAATTTATTAAGTATGTTTATGTCCACAGCTCCTTGGGAGGTTTGGTACTATAGAAGAGTGTGGGCTGGTGTGTCTTTTCCTTGCAGCAGATGCCACATTTTGTACGGGGATCAACATCAATGTCAGTGGTGGTGCCGAGCTGGATTATGGCTTCAAGAATAAATTTGATCCATCCGAATGAATCTGCACCGGCTTTATGTGGTGTTGAATTAAACAACAGCAAAGTTTGTTCAGATAAATGCAGAGTATAACTTGCTAATGTATATTATATCATAGACACAAAAGCACTATTTAAACAAAAATAATTTGTGATTCTCTCTGTAGTAATGTTCTGCCTTTCATGGTCAGGTTTTCACAAGGCATCAGGGGCAAGCCCTAGTGTGTACTACATAGTTACTGGTATTTATGGCCTCGGATATTCAGTCGATCCATTTCTTGCATGGTGGACCTCTGGCTCTGCTTCCATTGTGTCTTAAGTGACAGGGCTCTCTGTGTGCACTACCTTGTGGTAGTCTTGACACATGTCCAGATCGTTTGATCTTTTTTATCATTTTATTTTTGTAGTTAGCACTTGTTTCATCCCCACTTATTTCCTAATGTTGTCATTTTTCAACCTGTTTCTTCTTCTTTGAGATTTGTCAGAGATATTTCATTTTGTTATCTGAATTTTTTTTTTTTTTTGTAATGTCTACTTTTGGCACTGGTAACACACTGCTGGTTGTTTTTTTTAAAAAGTACTGTATTGAAAAGTGCAGTTTTTTAACCATCCTTATTAAAATAAATGATCTGTTGTGGTCAAAAAACATTGTTTATTATTTTAATGTTTAAAGTGCCTGTTATTATTTTCGAATAATATTTGTGCCTTTATTGAATGCATTGTTGTTTCTTTGTTGCTGTTGATGTCTTCATTGTAGAATATTAAATTATACAATATGATGAAGAATTGATAAGTAATGATTGGCACTCATAGATACAAAAGAAAGAAGAGATAGAGAGATAGGAGGACACATTAATTCATCAGTCTTTTTACATTCGCTGCCCCTCAAAACAGGGAAAGTTGTTTTATTGGTTACCTGACAGCTAACCAGACATGAAACAAAAACAGGTGAATAGGTTCATTTGTTAAATCTGGTGCCACAAAATTTCACTTTTCAGTTTATGTGACATCTGCTACTGCTTAGAGGTTGAAATTGTTTAATATTTGTGACTGGAGCCTTGTTTAGGATATATGAAGTTCTACAATAACATCCATTCAATTTATCCATTTGCTTTTAGTAGTTCTTTTTCTTTTGTTTGCTTAAAATAGATTAGCTATATAGATTAGCTATATCTGCAGTGTTGTTTCTTGTATGAACCTCACCGTCTTTTGTAATTCACTTAGTAGCCCGTATAGTTTGGCTTGCACCCGTGTTTCTCTTAGCCAAAAGTTTAGCCTTGATATGTTGTATTTGGGATAGTGATCTGTTTCTCAGGTGCCATTTCACATGGCTGGTTCGCAGTCTTTTAGTTTTTTCACACAAATAGGAAGTCTTTGAGATATTAGTTCTACAGACTAAAAGAGAAAAACCACCTACTCTACCTCCTTATATGATTAAGCAAAATATTTATGGTGGCCTAAAGGGACTTTTCCTGTGGCCATCTTATGTGCCATGGTCTGCAGCTTGAAGAATACTGCATTAGAAAAGGGGAAAATCAAAAGTTATAGTTACTATAACCAGGTCTCAAATCTGTCACTTCTAAATAATGATGGCACTTGCTGCACTGTAGTTACTATATTGGAACTTGAATCTCCCTGTGTGGATTCTGAGGCCCTGTTTGGGGGCGGGGGACAAAATTGACCCACTGCCCCCCAACAAGCATATTGTAAACGTTGATAAAATATGTTTTCTTCAAAGTCAGAGTATATCTACCTGAGCGACAAGGAACCTACAGTCTGCAAATAAATAAGCCAGATCTGTAAAATGGATGTGCTTGCAAAACGCAAGTTCTGGCACAAGATCAAAGTCCAGAGGTGGACAGTCAGAACTGTCTGCCAAGTTTACAGCTGGATATGAAGAAGAGGGAACTTGGACCTCTTGTGCCCTTATAATCTAGAGACGCTAGGTTTGAGTCTCTGTAAGATAACTTTAGTTTTTGATTTTTCTTGCCGAGTGTCATCTGATCTCGTCTTCTTTCAGCATAAGTGACAAGCATAAATACTCAATACCAAAACAGACACAAACTCTAATTATCACAGTAATAACTCAGATGGGTTGAACAAGATATTGTTGTTTAAATTGCAACTATAATTCTTCTTTCTTCTGAGTCTGTAAGTGCCAGTATCAGTTTGTTGATCATGCTAGCTCCCCATTCATTTATTCCTTTGTACAGTCAATCATACAGCATGCATTTGTTTAGCTTCTGTAAACTGAAGCTCTATATATATATATGTGTGTATATATCAGATTATCTTTTTGAGTATAACCAGATTTGATAGCACTGCATACTTTGAGGTGACTGCTGTGGCAAACACTTGCTGTGAAGGTTTTACTTTAGACCTTTTTTTATGTTCACTCTAAAAAGAGTGAATACCAAAGAAAAAGAAGAAGAAAATATTCTTCTTCTTCTTCTCTTTCACCATTTACCTCAGTGAGGTGTTGGGGATTGTAAGGATTGTTTGTGCACTTTTTGCAATGCATTGTACAAGTTGGTGTGCATTTCTGTTAGGTTGCTCCTGATGATATCGCTCCATCTCTTGCATGGTCTTCCCCTTGCTCTGTGTTCATTATATTTCTTCAGCATGGCTCTCTGTGGCCGTTGGTACCAGAGCATTCTCGTCAGGTGGCCGAACCATCTCATTTGTTGTTCTTTAATAAATTGTATGCCTGGTTTCAGTCCTAGTCTTCTAATTTCTTCATTCCTGATTTTATTCCTTCTTGTCACACCGGCAGCTCTCCTAAGCCATCTCATCTCTGCTGTTACAATCTCCCGCTCGTTAGTTTTAGTAAGGTCAAAAAATATTCGACCATTTATAAACCCAGATTCTCAGCTGAAGATGGTGACAGAGCACTTATGGGGGTGTCTTGAGTACCGTGATGTTGATTCTTAATTCAACATTTACCTCTTTTCTTCTTTTGGGGGGGGGGGGGGTGGGGGGATGTTGGGGTCTTGGATCCTGAGGTTTATTTAGGGCCATGTGGCCAGTACTGTCACCATGGACTGTGCAGATTAGGATTTTATTTTTTCCACGACAGAAAAATATTCCCAGCCTTAGGATTGGAAGCTGAATCTTATGCATGAGAGACCTGCTTTCTTAACTGTTTTGTCAGCCGCTTCTTCTCTTGTGGATCAAGTGCCATCTCTATATTGAAGGTTGTCTGTGATGGGGCTTGAGCCATGTATCTTCTTGGTGCACTCGTATTTGCTTCTTCCAGTCCATCTCTTGATGATGATAACACATTTGCAATATTTTCTTCACTTTGTATTCTTTAATTTCCACTGAGTGCATTTTTTAGAGAATTTGTTTATCATTTTTTAAATTTATGAAATATATATGTATTGTGTATGAATGCATGTGCATGTTTTTCTTCATAATATGAATTGTTTTATTTTCTAACCTTTTAAAAAATTGTTTTCGGTGTTTCTCCAGGGTGAAATAATATTCTGAGATTTGCTTCTCTAGAGAGTATATGACAGAGACAATCTGAGGTAGATCATGTTGTACTCAGAGAGTCTTATGTAGGGAGATTGTAGAGCAGAAAAAATAGAGAGATATAGATAGAGTACAGAACTGAGAAAGTTTGATAGAGAGGGTATTAAAGATCTGAGGAAATCTGATGGAGAGAGAATATAGAACTGAGAAAGTGTAATGTATAGAGAGTGTAGTATTGAGGAAATTCCAATGTAAACATAGTGTAGAGCTGGGAAAATCTGACAAAGAGAGTATGGGAAAAGAAAATATGCTGACTGAATTACAAAAGACAGGGAAGTTCATATTAGAGACATCATTACAAGCATAGATAATCAGTTTCAAACAAACGAAAGAAGAAGAGGAAGAAACTATTCTTTTCTCTTAGCTGCACACACGTAAAAAAGTGAACTTAGTCTTTTATTGACTTAGGGACTAGGGAACAAAACAATCTTTATAAATTGTAACTAAATGTGTTAGTCAATGATGATGAGTAATTTGAGTGCTTACAAAAATAATGGTCTGTGTTCAAACTTGTCCCAAACTTACTGCTGTCAGTGTCCCAGGACAGCCATTTGAGAAGAAATGTCTTACACACATATCTGTGCTGAGCTGGGAAGCCTACCCTGGCCATGCTGCTGTGGTTCACAAGGCAGTACCCACAGCAAGTCACAGCATTCAGGAAAACATGTGATTCAGCATTCACAGCTGGTGCCAACATCATGTGATTCAGCTTCATGGCTTGTCATGATTCCCTGTGATTCAGTATTCATTGTGATTGATGTATGATGCAGTATTGATAATTTTTGATGATTTTATGTAATTTATTGTTCATGGTATGTGATGATTCCATGTAATTCAGTATTTATAGCTTATTGATTTAATATAATGCTGTATTCATGATTTGTGCAGATTTCATGTGATTTAATATTCATGATATGTGATGATTTTACTTGGTTTAGATTTGTAGTTTCTACCTATATCATATCTTTATGTATAAATGTTTATGATTTTTCTTCTTCTTCTTCTTCTTCTTCTTACAGTTCATTGGCAAAAACTCTGGTTAAAAGTTCTGGCTGTTAATCGACTTCTAGACTTTTGTCTTGTTCCGGAGCTTGAGTTTTGTGTGCACAGCCGTCTTACAGATTTGGCTTGATTGTCTGTAGACTGTTGGTCCCAGAGCTCTACATTAGTGATTCAATCATATATTATGTATGCTTAAGCTGTTATCCATGTTTTGGATTCATGTAACAGTACTGATTTGACATTAGAACTTTTAAGAGTTAAGTCAAGAGGATAGACTATATTTCAGTGGACTATAGCTCAGTTTCTCTCTTGCAGAATGGCTAGCCACTTGACAAGGGCATTGCACAAAGCATGAACTCTGTAGCACCAGGGATAAACCTTAGTGATTTCTGTGAAAGCAAATAAAACATTCGTGATTTTTTTTTAATTCTTATGTTTATTATTGTTATTTATTCTATTGTGCATAAGTTTTTTTTTTAATTGCACTG